CTTACTGCTTTTAGTATGTGCTATACTGAGATACTGACTGCACTCAGTGCAAGATTAACAGGAAGGAAGAGTAGACCAGCACATGTACATTGTGATGTTGTTTGTTCTGACAGAGCCAGAAAAACAACTTTCCTCTAGAAAACAACCTGAATTCAAAGTTAACATCCATTTGACAATCAGAACCATCTGAGTTACTTTGAGGACACTGAAACAGAGTTTAGAGAGAGGAAAAACTCGAAAACACTCGACTATTCAGCTCAGTAAATTAAAGATGTTTATTTTAGCTTAACTACAACCTCAGTGACATATTTTCTAGAAAATTGCTATTACATATGAAACCCTCTTCAGATGTGAACTACACTTAAGAGCTGCAAGTGTCTCTGCCTCTGTATGTAACATTCCTGTCTCAGAATTCAAACAGCATTTGACACCTTCGGTTTCTTTGCCATAGATCTTGACTAGACATTCAACTCACCTTTAGCTTATGAGCCACTTTTTCTCTTAGACCCCTTGCAGTGGCATCAATATTTAAAGAATCCAAAATCCAGAAATGGATGACCAGGGTACGACTGCTGCTTTCACATGCATTAGTTTAATCTAGATCATTTCCCAAGCAGATTCCATAACATGTACAAGATGAGTCACTACTTAGTACGGAGCATGACATTTAGAATAACATGGGTTACCCAGGAGCCAGGTCTTATTGACTTTCCATGACATTTATTCTTTCCAATGCCTGAGTTGATTTACACAGTGGGGCTTAGTAATTTTTGTAATGTAGTAACCTTTCTTCCCCCCAAATCTCTGTCTTTTGCATGGGCTTAATGAAGGATATTTTAAAGTATTATGCATGAATATTATTACATTCTTGCATAAGGTCTAATCTGGCTTACACATGTGCAGTTTGCATCTGCTTCTTTGAGTTTTAATCTATATTTTTGTGGTTCAAACCTAACAAATACAAACTAGGTTTTTAGCATCTGCCTGGAGCAGTTACTGCCCTAACACTGCCTCAGGCAGTATCACTGCCCTGAAACTGCATGTTGCCATCTCTTAGCTGGAAATTACTCCCCTTGCATCAGAGCCAAGAAGCCAGAATGTGTGAGACCTCATTCCTTCAGGGCAAGGTCAAAGCTTACTTTAAACCATGGTAGTCACGGCTGGAGCTACACTGGCTGATTTTGCACCATGTTGCACATTTACCAACCTGATGTTCTGCATCAGGTGTGCTAACCTCTAGCTGAGAGTGTACCTGGCCCTTTAGCCACCTTCTGGATAGCACATTTCACCAGCATGTCCACAGACTAGCACTGATTCAAACACTGGTTCAATAGCGCCCTTTTTAAGTCAAACCAAAAGAGACAAACCAGGTAGACTGGTTCTATTGCAGAAGTTAACATGTCAAAAATGATAATTACTTGTAAAGGCTACCTTGAAAACAGAAAAAATTGTGTCTGCTACAGAAATACAGACTGTGTACATAAACATAATCATAAAGTTTTTTACCTTTTAGTTATCATATAGTTAGCACAAGTGCCTTTACCTACTGTGGAAAGACCCCAAAGCTGAAGAGTTGATAGCTCTGTATCATTTCCAGCAATTTAAAGTAAGGCAGAAATGTTCAGTGTTATCAACTAACAGTAAAAGTGTTTTGAATTCACATTACGCAGGTACAGACAACTTGCATCACAACCTATATGGTAAAGTTACAAAAAAAATGAGCATATTCATAATGCTAGAAGTTATTCTTCTACTCCAAAATAAGACTAACATAAGGCATTGAACAAATGAAACAGAAGTTCAGGGCACAATTCACATTCATGTTTCAAGGAAGCCTGTATCATCTATCAATCATGAATCATAGAATGGTTAGGGTTGGAAAGGACCTTAAGATCATCTAGTTCCAACCCCTGCCATGGGCAGGGACAACTCACACTAGACCATATTGCCCAAGGCCCTGTCCAACCTGGCCTTGAACACTGCCAGGGATGGAGAATTTACCACTTCTTTGTTCCAGTGCCTTACTACCCTCACAGTAAAGAACTTCTTCTTTACACCTAGCTTGAATTTCCTCTGTTTCAGTTTGAACCCATCACCCCTTGTCCTATCACTACAGTCCCTGATGAAGAGTCCCTCTCTGGCAACCTTGTAGGCCCCCTTTAGATACTGGAAAGCTGCTATCAGTCATTTACAGTGGCTTGTTACCATCCCTTGCCATAGGCTCCTGCCCCCAAACCTTTGCTAGTAGAAGAAACAAGTAAATGTTTCTCCTTTCCTTCAGTGCAAAGCTGAGTGTCTCAGCTGACTTTGCCACGAAATGGTTTAAGAGCACCTGCACCATTCAGAGCATAGGAGACAGTGCTGCCATTTCCAGAGGCTTTGGTGACAACTTTAATGGATGCAGCATGATCCAGATGACCATGCCTGTCTATCAATAGCACTACATTCTTTCTGACTATGCTACATCTGCCCTAAGAATAAACACAGAATTTTGCCTACAAGGTTGCCAACTTTTCTAATCCTAATTTCATTAAGTAAAGATTCATAAATGAAATATGGTGACTAAAATTTCTGTGGAGAAAGAAATCCTGTAAAACATTGAAAATGACAACAAAGCTTTTAAAGCAATTTCACATTAGGACTCAAGTTAAGTGAAAGAAATAATAAGCTGACTAAGCCGTACTCTTCTCTGTAATGTTTGAATTGCTTTCAAGTGAACTCTTCATGACAGTATTTGACATAATTAGGAAGTTTCACACTTTACTTCAACATTCAGGGCTGGAAAAAAGGTGTCTATTTATTTAATATGATTGCTAGAATTTAAATCAAAGTGGTAGATACCAAATTAAGCCCCAGCTTGGTTACTGTTAAAATGCTGTGAGACTGCTGCCATTTTACACTCAACAAGTTATTCCACATGGAGATACTGCCAGCACAATCCTGTTTCTGGATTGGTTGCTGTTGTTGTTACACAATACACTAGGTGAGACCTCCATTTTTACTAAGTCGGCAGGAATTCTGCCCACTGAAATGTTTCCATTCTATTTCCAAACCAGAACCTTTACAGTGTAATTTAAACATAAAAATAAACATTGTCACAACACTTCACAAATTGCATGCTGCTTTAGAATCCTTTTATTTAGAAATAGGGAGAGGAATTTGACAGATTGACCTTTGCCTCTATCTATAATTGATGTTTTTAGAGTTTAGTTTCTTAAGAGCATTTATTGATTTTTGGACTACAAAGAGCACAACATGAGTGGGTCACAAAAAACATTCTTCTGTTGTAAGATATCACTGGAAACATTAAGGAAATCAGTTAACACAAAGCCATATCAGGACCTTGTGAAACATTGAGTGTGGGTCTGTTAGAAGTCAAGGAACTTTAGGACATCATTTTTGTGTACTGACAAAAGAGGAATGGGAAATGTTGTTGCTTCTTATCAAATAAATTCCCCAGCTATCAATGAAACTTAGTGGTTTTGTGAAATGTTTTAAGACAAGAAATCAGCCAGTCACACAGCCAAAACAAACTTCAGTTCCGGATACACAGTAAGTCAGAACACATCAAAGGTAAGTCCACAAAACTAACTGTCTCAGCTGGAAGTGCACAGGAAGACCTGTGCTTTTGGGAAACATCTCAAAGGCACAGGACGCTAATGGTAAAAGTTATATTTCAATAGGTCACAGACTGTCAAAATCCAAGTGGCTTTTCATGAGCAGAAGAAAGGAACCCTTCTTGCCTTTGAAATCACCACTGAAACACGTCAAGGAGGAAAGCAGTGAACAGAGCACAAAGGAGAGAGCTGCACCCCAGCTTTCCCAAGCCCTGTTCTTGTGAATGGGCTACAAGATTTCAGTCTACAAAGAATGTGAGAGGACTCTGCTTCTTAACATTGCAGCTGAAACACGCAGAGACACTGAAATGTTTGAACTGTGTATCTGTATTAAAAGGAAAAAAGAAAAAATACCCAACATGATTCAAAGCAAGGAATTAACAATCTGAAAGTGTAAAATCTAATGCTGAAATCACTGTGCGCTGACTAGCAACATTTGTGACACATCTGGAGTCTTATGAGTGTCCAAGGTGAAACAGAGTTGAGAGTGCTTTTATTTCTGCAAAATAATGTAGTTACTAAATTCTGTTTCCTTTTAATATAAGGAACTTCCATCCTTTACATAGAAAGGATCAGAAAGTGTTCCTTGAAAGTAAGGAAAGACTAGTAAAAGAAGCTTTACCAGACTCCTGTCATTCTGCTGGCAACGCTGCTCTAGCAAAGGGTGAATAGAGCTGTTAAATCAGTGTATATATACATGTGACCTTCAGTATGGAGTGTTTTTTCCAGCAACCATGAAGTGTCTACAATGGTGACAAGTTATTTTCTGAGTAATCTTGTGTGTATATATATCACAAGATGATAGAAGATTTCATGCAGTAATCTTACTTTGCTCAGCGGAGTTAGCGTGACATATGCTGCTTTGTGATATAGAACGGAGTAAAATTGAGGTTTTTAATATAAGCCCTGACAAAAATGGTAAGTGAAATAGCAGTAGTGCAATGAAGACAGGGCAAACAAAGCCACCATTATGGGCTTTGTAATATCTCAGACACAGTCCTTGGTTTTTAGAAGTAATTTCATTGGGAAATGGAATGTCTGACAAGACACAGAGGTGATTTTTAAGAGGGGCATTGACAGAAGCGACCTCAATTTAACATATCAGCTGAAAGACAGCACCTTTCATCTTGCAGCTTCTTCTAAAATCACTCTTCAGTGACAGCATCATATATGAGTCGAAGTCCTAAGGCAAGACAACAACTAAGCTCATAACTTTCTGCTCCAAAAGTGAATCCACAGTGAAAAATTAACACTCTGTCATAACACCAGGGACTTCACGGATGAATAGAAATTCATCAGGAATCACAGGTTGTGCAAAAAATAAATCCATTGGACAAAACCTCCAACTATCCCAAAATCCTTCTTAAGGAAATCCTTAATTTAAGGAAAGAGTTTAAAACTTGAACCTTGGTTCCATGTCTTCTCTAGTATTAACTTTCAGCAAGCTTATGCCTGACCTATCGCCTTTGCTTCACGAATACCCTACATTTCTGTGCCCTTAGGCTGTTGTACTACCACTTCAGGATCTCCTCCCCAAGACGTTGTTTTTCACATTTTTAACCTCATACATCATTTCTATCACCTCAGGAGCAGGAAAATCTCCAAAGCAGTGTTAAAATCTCAGTTACCATGTTTTAAATTAATATTTACACTGCTAATAAAAAATTCATATTTACCATGGCAACCTGCATCATACATATGCTCCTGATGAGAGGGAGAGAAGCCATTAAAAATAAATAAAAATAAGCAGGCACAGAAATGAAACATACACATTTCTGGACACATATTTCCAATGGAGGGGGAAAAATAAATTAATCAGCTCTACCAAAAACACAGATTTCCACATCAATACAAGGAATATGAGATGCTCAGAGTGAAATATGAATCACTAGTTTAGAGGGAACTCACTCAGTTTGGGTCTGAACAGCCTAATGGGGAGAAAATGAATAATCTCAAAATAGAAACTGGATGTCAAATCTTGTTTGGTCCAACTTGTGTTTAATCCTTATATTCCTTTCTCTGTAACCCTTACATTCCTTTATTCCTTTTTGACACATTTATTTCATTAAAAAAGAAGCTTTGGAAAAGCTCCCATCAGTGTATTTTCTTTTGCATCACTTGTTGGGGGTATTTTATAACCAGAAAATATTCTGATAAAACAGCAGAAACTTCTTAATTAAAAAAAAAAATCAGAGCCACTTCCCTTGATTTCTGGATACTCTAGAAAATAACAAGCCTGAACATGTCCTGAGTACTAACCACAATCTGTTTCTAAAGAAGGCTTCTGCCTAATCAGGACTATGGTGAAGCATTTCAGATGAAGTACGTTACATGTAACAGCATCCTTCCTCAGAAATGACAAGAGCTTATCTCATCTACCTGAAAAAGTCAAGGTGCTGTGCTCTTCTATCTGTGCTGGCTATAATCACACAAGCAGTTGCAAAGGTAAACACAATCTAGATGTATGCATGTATTCAGCTGAAGGGAAGAAACTCCGCTGGAGCGTAGTCTCTCCTGGAACAACAATACAATCAGAGCAGGGCATTCTCATGCACAGCAGAAATAACTCTGCTGATTTCACAAAAATTACAGCAAGAATAAATTTAGCTGTGCACAATAAAAGTGAGAACTTTATTGCAGCTGAACAATTGTCTGTACCTCATCTTCTCTGCGTAGACATAAAACATCAGAAGGTGAACACTCAGTATTGCTTATAATTCTTTTTATTGTTATTCTTGATGCCAGTTGCTGTCAAAAAATTGAAATATTTTCATAGCAGTAAAACCCAATCAGTCCTATACTGCCTGCTCTTTTTTAACTAGGGGGGGAAATATTAAACCATCATGAATTACAATTTTTAATATAGGATTTTTTATGCAATGATTTTTTTCCCAAACATTAATAAATGAGGGTACAAGTTTTTCCCTCCTTGCAAAGCTACCTTAGGTTTAATTTGTTTTTATTGATTTCCAGAGGCATTTACACAACACAAGGTACAGTATAAGAAGAACATGTTAAATATTTTCACAGGCATGTTCTTTTCACTTCTGAAAAATAACAGAAGAGCTTTCCAACCTGCTGTATGCTGCCTGCCAATCCTGTGTGGCAAAAGCAGCAGCATCGCTTTTTAAATATAATGGGCTTTATTTTCAGTATGGTCCAAGCCCCAGGTAAGTATTTAGGGTTAAATCACATAAATTAACATTATGTTTTTGTAACAAGCAGGAACAAATGCACCAACTTTGACATGACTGGAAAGAGATGTTTGTAATGCCATTACTAACACTACATGCTTTCTGAACAAGAAAATAAATGTGTTCAATTCAGCCTGCGGTATGCTCATCAGACAGACACGGCAGTGTCCTGACACTCTGTTAACCTGACCATTACACATGTTTCTGTCTGTATCATATATACACTTCATCTCTGGCACCAATGTTTATTAGAGAGCCCAAGAAACATCAAGGATAAGCCACAAGCATTTGGCTCATCATAAATCTTGAAGAAAGAAAATCAGGTAGCAAACTCAACCTTTGAAGGAAGTCCTTCCTGAGGTTAAATGACTTTTTCACTCATGCCAAACATTTGATCTTCCTTCCTATTCACTTAGAAGGAACTAGTTACCGAAAGCTACAGAAGAAGGCTCTTAAAGGACCTTCTTATGGTAATGGTTTGGTTTAAAAGCATGTGTCCTGAGGTTGTCTTAGAGTTAAAAGAACAAATACGCTGGTAAATAGTTAGGAATTCAACATGAGACATGGGAATGCACTCAGATGACACAACTCAAGGTTATGGTGACCCTCATGTTTCTAGCCAGCTCACAAAACAGAGCAAAAAATCCACAATTCAAAAGACAGGGTATCTCCTGACATAGCCGGGTAAGCCACTTTCAAGAGTCATAGTCATAAGAAATACCGAGTGAAGCAGATGAGAGCAGAGACAGGGGAAACAGATTGAAGACCAGAAAGCCAGACAAAGGCCTCAGGATGATTTTGGCAGGCAGACTGGAAAGGGCATAAATAATTTTGCCAAGAGCCAAACAGACACACAAACACAGGTAAACCAGCCCCAATGAAGTAGAGCTGCATACTGACTGCAAGATAGAGAGCAACTTGCTGGGCCTTAAATTAGAGAGGCTCTTCTCAGGTGCACAGAGGAGGTTGCACACCAGCTGCAGTGGTATAGTGGATATATTAAGTGTAGAACTGTGGCTTACATGATTTGGTAGACGTATTTGCTAGACCTGATGTTTGAAGAGTGATTCAAGTGCCTAAAAATAGCTATCTAAAAACACATTAAATAAGACATCAGTATGGGGCTGGCAGAAACAAAACAAGACTTACTAAGGCTTGTGCACTTCTGGCACAGCTGCTGGAGGGCAGGATATGTAGGGTGTCCACAATGGGACTGCACGTTTAGCACTAGAATTACATGCTTTGTAACTTACGTGGTAGAAAAAACAGACAAGTCTGCTGCCAGCCCAAAATACGGCACAAAAATTACACAGTGGCATCACTGGCCCAACAAAATGAAGCCTGATGCTCAACTTCTCCCTCACCCCTTAGCAGGCCAAAACACTTGCTTGTTTTTAATGAAGAATTACTGTTTCCAGCCTAATACTGCCTCCACCTCACATTACATATTATCAGCTACTCTGCTAGAAGTGATCATTCATTCCAGAAATACACGTAGCTAATTTCACATAAAACCAAGAGTTCAAGTAAAGTAGGAGCACTTACACGGCAAAGGGAGGAATGCTAGAAATGACATTCCAGAAAGTCCCTAAACAGAGTGAGGTTTCACCACAGGGCACAGACTTTTCTAGAAGAAAACAGAGAAAGTTTTAGAGAAACAAGTTACTCTAAACCAGAGGTTTATATTTATCTAGGTTACAGATTTATCTAAACTGGAATCTCACCTAAATATATAATGAAAATATATCACAAAATGATGAATATACAACCCCTGTAAGATGAAGACTACTACAAATTTTCTGGAACTGCAAGGGAAGAATATGTCTGAAGAACAAAATATTTATGTGTATATAGAGACCAGATGCACATTTTCAGCCATTCCATTTGAAAATTTTCCTTATAGCTTTCATAACATTTATTAGGAGTTTAAGATACTGGCATTTCTCTATGTCAATTGGATAAATGTCATTGACACAAACCAAAGAAAATAAGAACAGAAGATACAAATGCAGCCAAGTTGTATTTATAGTGAGCATAGTGTTCATCCCCCTGTTGGGTCAGTGGGATAGCTATAGAATCATAGAACTATAGAATAGTTTGGGTTGGAAAGGACCTTAAGATCATCTAGTTCCAACCCCCCTGGCGAGGGCAGGGACACCTCACACTAAACCATGTTGCTCAAGGCTCTGTGCAACCTGGCCTTGAACACTGCCAGGGATGGAGCATTTACCACTTCTCTGGGCAACCTGTTCCAGGGCCTCACCACATCTATTATTTTATGTACTTGTTCTGGCTAGGATGGAGTTAATTTTCCCCCTGTGTGGGGGGACTGAAGGTGGACAGGGTCAACTCATCACATTTTGCCAACAGAAGAAGATATATGTATCCTGTCTCTCCTGTTCAGTGACTGCCTGAAAAGCTGAGACTGCCTTAAGTCACCACCTAACTTTATCAGCATTTCGCACACACTCAGTGATCTGCAGAGCCATTACAAAGGCAGGGAATATCTGAAAAGTAAAAAGCTGGGTAAATTTGCTTGCTGCCTCAGAATTGCCCCCAACTGGGAATTTATTCCTTGCAAACCATGAGCTGCAACAAGGAAATTGCCATTAATGCATAAATATTTCCTGTGCTTTGCTCTTACTTGACCTTGTTTGTAGCTGTGCTTGCCAACTGCAGACACGAACTACATAGTTTAGCTCGAGTTTACTGCAAAGCTGGCTCTGAAACAGTTATTTGCAATGTGGAGAGAGCTGTAAGAACAGATCCTCCAAGTCTGTCACACTGCCTTCTGGCAGAAGAGCACAGAATTTACTTTACAGCTCTCAGAGTTATCTCTAAAGCCTCAACTTCTTGTTTGTACATCTTTTATTCACTTGGTGTTGTACCAAGGTGTTAACAGTTATTGAAAAACAACCACCAGCAGTCCAAAACAGCTCCTTCTGTCCCAAATAACAGAAAAGCTGTCACATCAATGTGTAGACAGTCACTAATTGTCTCAGAACAGTATAGAGCTGTATGAGATACAGGCAGCCTCAGGTCTAGTTGCTTTCCAGCAGCACAGCCAGCTCAGAGCTATTTAGCATGACAATGTACCGTGACAGGCAGGTACACAGAGCACACACAGAATTCTTTGGTACTTCCAGATTACTGTCACCACTCAGCTGGTACAAAGTTAGCCTGCTGGATCTGTCCTACAGAGCAAGCATCACTGTGATAACAGTACACATACGCCACTTAGTTTATGCGCTTAAGGTAGAATTAGGAAGATCAACACATTAGCAGTTCGTGACTGCAAAATAATTTTACATTTTTCCTATATAAATATCCTGTTTTACTTAACTCCAAAATAAATATATTCCCTGCTTCTCTCAGCTTCCTCAAACTTGCAGGTCCCATTCCAATGAGGGAGTGGATTTTTACAGCTATAACATGACAGTAATTTTATTAAGACTTTGCAGCCAAAGCACTTAGGGACTCATAGAAAAGTAATAAACACATGTTTTAAAACACACAACAGAAAAATAATTTTAAAAATAGACTTAAAATACAAATTAAGCAGCTGGAAAAGTTGTTCTAATAAACAACCAACAGCACTGGTCATAGGAAAAGCTGTAAGCTCTTTCAAATGGAAGAGCCTGCTTTGTTCAGTAATAAAGATGAATTAAAAGAGCAGCCACAGTGGGGCTGGGATTATCCACCTTAATGCTTTACCACAGCACAAGCACAATTATTAATCAACACTAATATCATAAAGCAGAGTAGGGGGTACCACTCACACCATCTCTAGAAATGAACACAGTGCTGTTGAAGCCATATTTAATATCACAAAGGTGAAGGTGTTCTTGGTCACAAATCATGATGAGAACTTGAGAGAGGATAGCATCACAAAACCTGAGAAAAAGCGTAAGCAAGCAGAGATGGAAGCAGTGCGCTAAAGAGGTGCTTCCACTCTCAGCAGAGCAGATGCAATGATGGAATATGCAAAGCAGAAGATGAAAGAGGAAGAAGGAGAAAGAAGAGCATAAGCCTGGGCAAAATCCAAGGACCACCAATGGGTTGGGAAGACAATGAAAAGCAGCTTGTCCAGTCAGATCAGAGAACAGTTCAGAGCCTAGCAGCTGGTGATAGAGTCAGGGGGAATGATTATATGGTTTCAGCCATAGCAGTAGAATTCCTATTTAACATGTATCACAGAAGTGCAGAATCCAATAATTTTCAACCAGTTTCTGATTGATTAATAACACATTAACCTGATCTAATGTGGAAATCTGAGGTGACCTTTAAAACAGCAGTGAAAGGACTTTGGGTGACAGCTCTTACAAAACTTGAAGCTGCCATGCTCTTGCTTTCTGAGCAAGGTGCAAGCACAGTGGATGTAAAATAAGGGCTTTCATTCAGCTCTGCCTGTACTTGCCTGGTACATGCTTTACATTCAAATAAACTCCCAAAACTGGAGTTAAACCAGAGACATCAGTAGCAGAACCCAACTGATTTTGAAGAAAGTCTGACAAAAACACACACTTCTCCTTAATTTCAGCAGCTTCTATAACAGGGTTGACTTTGCACCTTCACAGATGCTTGTGGAAGGGAGCAAAGTGTGAAGCACTCATTTTAGGGACAGGTTCAGAGACCTCCACACAAAGCACCAGAAACATATTTTATTTCTGTGGCAATCAGATTTTTAGAAGCTTTTCTGCCTCCCGCTCCAGCTATTTCAGCTGAACTCTTTGTCACCATCTAGCCGGACTCACCTAGCCAAGTTAGAATTGAATGGAGCAGAGCACTGGTCCCACAGGAGCGTTCACCCACTCATTAATTACACATAGCAACACAATGACAAGTTCTTGCTGCTTTCTACAGTTGAATAAAAGCACCAGATAACCTTTTTAAATCTTGCTTTATGCTACCTCCATTCATAGCTTTTCAATACCCTTGCACAACATCAGCAGAACAAGCAGTCCTGCTTTGTCAGCCAGCTGGGTGCCCAAAGAACAGCCTACCTATGAGACTGAACTGTGAGTCAGAGCACTAACCCATAATGCCTAGAAAGAGCTCTGTGTGCTGCCCAACCAACCACACAGTTCAACATCCTGTCAGTCATCAGATAAAGTATGCAAAAAGCAAGGAAGAAACATTTGCACAAGTCACACTTCAGCAGTAAATAGCCAGGCCTCAGGCTTTCACAGCACTACTGGCAGCCTGTTTGCCCAGCACCTGGCTTGGCAGTCCTTCAGCAAACATTCTCTTTGACTAATACAAATCACTTGTACAGCAGAAACAGGCCCACAGCAAGTAATTCATCAAATCTTAAAGAAAAATTAAGAAAGAAAGAAAAACATATATCTGAATGTCAAAATACCATTCCAATAATAGCACTTCCATTGTTAACCTGTGTAAGGAACAGATAACAAGAACTGCTGTCTGCTTGGCAAATGTGAATGTGACAGAAGAGAGCTAACCTACTCTTCTATCAACTTGTTCTGGTAAGTTGAAAGGCAACAATTTCTTTTTATGAAAAATATGAAGAAAATCCTTGACACCATACTAAGAGAATCACAATTGATTTGAAAACTCTTCTCTTGAAGCTCAATGGATTTGTCTCAAGGTGGAAAGCCACATCAGCATGATAGGAGATTGTTTCTCTGCATTTGAACAGCTTTGTTCTGAGTGGTAGCTAGGCTAAAGTAAGATAGACAACACTTGATTGACAGGTTTTCCATTTTTATATCTCCAGGAATGCTACAAGACATGCACGAGTGCCCCTGATAACATACGGGCTCAGAGAACACACCGTAATAGCCAGATTTGTAAATCCTTGGTATACCAGATGACTTATGCAGGAATATTACAATAAATTGCCTCTGAAATTGTGGCATGCTGCTCTGGGGAAGGATCTCTTCAGTGTCCCCCCAGGAACAGAACTTCTGTTGTTCTAAATTGCTGTAATTAGATCTCTTCAGAGCCCTGTGGCTATAGCTATTCCATTTCCAACACAGCAATGCTCTCCAGGCAACAAGATGGTTACAAAATGTACCTTTCAAACCAGTTAGCAAAAAGCTATGGGAACTCCAAGAGTACTCTTTATAATCAGAGCAGGATGTATGATTCAGTATTTTCAGCCTTAGGAGAAACTAGGCAGAAAGTAGGTATTACACATTCCCTCTTGGGAGAGAGATCTTACAATGTTTGCATTAAAAACTGTAATTCTGAACATACAGATTAACCACCTTAGTGCTGCTCTAATGAAAAGAAAGTCAGGTTATCTCCCGCCACAAGCCCCTAACCTGCATTTCAGGATTTAAAGTTTCCGGATTCAAGTAATGATTTCATCTTTATAGTCTGGGTCTGAAATGGACCCAGGGTGGAGCTGATCCTCAGTCTTAACAATCATTATGGAGGGAGATTTGTTATCGCTTTATACACCAGGATCAGTCCCTTAATTTTACACTAGACATCTTCCCACAACGGGCTATGGCTCAGTGATCCCATCTGCAACCTTTTCTAAAGGGCACGGGTATGAATAACAGGTTTGTCTTCTTCACTGCCATATAGTTCAGTAACAGTCTTACAGCTAAATTAACATTTTCTTTAATTTGATGTTTCCTGATATTTCATTTGATATTTAATATTTTCTGATATTTAATTTCATGTTATTTCCTGGTAAATTCCCTGAAAGGTCACTGCTGGAACATATACAAAGGCATTTTTTTGGTCATTTTTTTGTCCACTTGCTCCCACCACAGCTCAATATTGGTTCTGATCAGGATGACCTATATCTGTTCAGCAAAGATATAATGCCCTGTCACTTGCACCCTCAAAACATTAATAACACAGTTCATATTCGAATCACAAAAGTAATGGCATTCTGTTTGCTGCTTGAATATCAATAGGCTATATCTCAGCATTAGGAGACAAAACTAGGTTGGTCTTTTTTTTTAGAGAAACAGAAATGCCTTAATTTTTCATTGAAGTTTTCAAGCACAAATCTTGCATTTATGGCATTTTTCATCTCTAAGGATTACAAGTCTCTCCACTACAAGTGCAATATTAATAATAAAAAAGAGACATAATTCAGCTGACATTTTGAGTTTTCAAAGTATCACAGAAATTCCCTTGTGCTCTCTAAACAACTTTCTTGTAAGGTACTGAAAAATTACTGCCCTTAATTTGTAGTTGTAGAAATGTGGTTAAGTAACTGCACAAGACGACAAAGTGAATCAGTAGAGAAACCAAGGGATCATATCCAGAGTCCTTGATTCTATCACTAGATTCTATCCACAGAAATCAAGGGTTAAAGTCACTTTTAACCACATCAAGTTGAAAAGTAGCAGCTGGTTAATGTTACAGAATTCAGGATAAGCATTACTTATCATCAGATCATTTTCAAACCCAGTATTTAAGAGCAAAAGACCACTTGATACGGAGAGGACTGCTCAGGAACCAAACAGTGCTTGCTTGTGAACATCTGTGATTGCCAACCAGATGCTGAACACTCAGTAGAGTATAAAAAACCCAACACATTAGGTTGGGTTTACAATTAAAATGGAACAGACAGCAATAGTGTAAGAACATTAAAACTTGGGAGATTTTGGTCAAAGTGGGACAGTACTCACAGCCAATATCAATCAGGATGCAAAGAAGCTCTATTTAAATGTCCATGCTCTTCCTTCGTGCTGCGTCTGCTGTTTGGTCGTGACCCATTAGTAGTTGTGCTAATGCAGGGTTTTCTTGACAGCTGTTCAAGTTAAGAAAATCACAACAAACCTCATTCTTACTGTGGAGTATCTTGAAAACTTACTTGCAAAAGGCCTGTGAACTACCATTTGGGGTAACTGGTCCTAATACAAGAACGAACTTGGTTTAGAAATCTTGAGCTGACTGTATTTTACTCAATTATTAATTAGCCATGCTGGCAATAGGCTTTGCTCAACCTTTTGTTATCAATTTTGTGATTTCATGATCAATCATTAATCAAGCACAACTTCCAAAGATGATAGGCAGAAGAGAATTAAGAAAGGCTGAAATAGGAAGCTAGATGCTAAGAGTGACAAGGAGAAATGACAGCCAAGAATGATGAGACAGCAAAGACTGCTTGTCTAGGCTTTGTGAGAAACGAATAATCCTTCCAGGAAGCATTTTAAAGACATCAGACCTAAAGATTCACTTACCTTTTCTGTCTCATTTCTTCATGGTTTTCTGTGGGTATCGCCTTTTGTGGCTATTCCTACTCCTTGTTCTTTCTGATTCTTCCTCAGCATTATCAGCATCTTTAACAGATTTCCTCAACTACTTTCAGTATTTCTGAGGATGAAGCTTGGAATTTATGGCTTATTTACTTTTCTTAAGGCAGATACTGACACCACTACATCTACTGCATGTATGAACACCACACGGCATCACTCTTTGCTGTGTTGTGTATGTGCAAGCCATTGGATTGTACCAGTGTCACATCACAAAACAGTGACAACCAAAATATAAAACTCACAGACTGAAAAACCATTTGCTTTGTATCTTAGAGCTGCTGCTTATTGTCACCCAGGAGTGTTTATTGGTATGCTTCTAGCTCTTCCAGATCTTCTCAAAGGAGGAGAAATCCACATCCATGTAACTGTATGAGCAGTGAGACTCCTTGGGATCTAACAGCTGTCGCAGTATAAGGCCACTGGCCTCATCATACCATTCATCCTGCATTCTGCAGAGCCATGAAGCAACACATCATAGATACACAACCTGCCGAATAAAAGCCATGCTGAAAACTGATTGCACTCTGCCAAAGTTTGATTAAACTTAGCAAAGCCCCAGCTTCTGCAGGATTCTCATGTGGCAAAGCAGGAATGTACTTTGATCACATACTCGAATATAACATTTATTGAATTTGCACTGTGGAATCAGCACCTTCGCTATCCTTCAGTTTCCGTTAGGGAAGTGCACAAATGCATGTGAAGATCAGGTTAACAGCTGGTGTTCACACGTCTGTGAATAATCCAGAACTCACTTTGGGGCTGTACAATAAATGTGTGACCTTGATATTGGGTGTTTTTTTTCCCCACTTTAACAGGGTAACAGCTAATAGATATTGACAAAGCTCAGGAGCCATCCAAGTACAGCGAGCAGGTCTTCCGCAGCCTCCACTAACCATTGCACAAACAAGTTGCGCAAGCAGCTGGCCAAATTTGGGAACAGTGGATTAGCAGCATTAATCCCTTTTAATTAAAGCTCAAGATTTGAGATGATGATTACGCAGCAAGCGTGTAGACAGCGTTGTGTGAGCTTGCATAGGCACACTTCTCAGTGGGGGTTTGCACACCAGCTACTGACAGACGCTACAAGGCATTACTGATTAACGGGCCGGCAGTTAAAAATAAAACGAGCTGCAATCCTCAAACTTTTCCAGTCACAGCTCTTACGGGACAGACGGACGGGACCACCCGCAGCCACCGCACTGCCTCAGCTCGTCCTGACCACTTCTGACAGGAAAACGCCGACGCCTGACGGCAGCCGGTGCCCCGCTGGCTTGTGCGGGCTCCCGTTGCCGATAGGAGGCTGTATCAGCCCCAGGAGGGGCAGCAGGGCCCGGCAGAACCCGCTCCCAACAACACCGAAGGCTCCCGCTCCCCGCCTCCCCCACACGGGACCAGACCCCCCCACCGAGCCCCGCCTCGTCCGCGGCCACGCCCTCCCGCGCGGCACCTTCCGCCACGAGGGGGCGGGGGGAGCGATTCCCTCCGCAGAGCTCCGGAAGCGCTGCAGGCTCCACCCCCCCCCCCCCGCCTGTTTGTCCCGAGCCGTGCACCCGCCGCGCAGATTGGCTGTCGGCAGTGTCGCCCTTAGCCTGTCCGCTCGCTGATTGGCTGCGGCAGCGCGGAGGCCCGGAGGGGCGGGCTGCGGCGGTGTGTGGGAAGAAAGGTGCAATGGCGGCGGTGGCACAGTGCGTGCGGGGCGCCCTGCGCCCGCGGTATCCGCTGCTGAGCTTCGCCCTGAGGTGAGGGTCGCGCCGTGCCGCGCCGCCTGGCCTGGGTCTGGTGTGGCGGGATAGGTCGGGTCCGGGTCCGCACTCACCGCCTTGCTATCGCCGAGCCAGGCCAAGAGCGGGGCCCAGCCCCGCAGCGCTGGGGTGCTTCACCCCGTGTGACCGGCCCTCCGGCTGTGCGGAGGGGAGCCCCTTCTGTAAGCCGGGACAGCCGGTGCAGGTCCCACCTCCCTTACCGTCCGCCGGGAGAGTGTCCCAGCCAAGCATCGCGGGGCCCGCGTGGCTGGGCCGTGGGCCTGAAGGCCTCCGGGCCTGAAGTGTTGGTGCGGGGGGCACCAGACCTGCTGGGATTGCAGCACTGAGCCTCGCCCGTGAACCGGTTTGCTTCAGCCTCGGAAACATTAGGAAGGGATAAAACCTCATCTTCATGGAGACCGGGCCGCTGTTGACATGATATTTGCGATACAGCAGTGAGATACAGCAGGGACTCAAAGGCGCTTTTCTGTTGCTCTGTAGCAATCGGCGGCAAACCGCAGTTCTTGTCGGTGTTTTCTGGGAGGCTGTTGCGGGTGATTGCATCATGTGAACTGGCTTTGTGTCCTGGTAGAGCGCCGTGCTGAAAACAAGCACATGTTGCCTTTAAAAGTGCTGCTGCTTTATAACTGAATATAGTGGGCACTTACAGGCTGCTGCCCTGTGGTTTTTATATTGCAGCAAAGTTATTTTCTGTAGCGGTTTAGATGGCCTGAGTTCAGTTACTTCTCATGAGAGGTTCTGTAAGTAATTTCACACAGCTAGAATTGTTGTATTAATTTGTGCTTTAATGTGAAGATTTTGTAGATATTGATATGTCAAATAAAGCGTCCAGCATGTCCAGAAGATGCAAATACCTTACAAAATAAGCAACTGATTAATACTGTCCACCTTTTTGCCTTAGGACTTCTCCACGACTGCTTTGTGCAGCAACACAACAGAAAAATACTGGCCAGAACTTGGAAGAGGACCAGAGTCAGAGCCAAAATGAACACAAGGTAGAACCCAGCTCTGCTGAAAAGACGTTAACTGAAGAAAAGGCCAAACTGGAAGAACAACTGAAAGAAGTTACCGTAAGTGTCTCATGGTTATTGGGTTGCACATTGCATACCTACGAGTGTTCATTATAATTTTCTTGTGCCCAATCTGGATACAGTTGTGTGATTGCTGTGTAATTGTTCAGTAAAAACCTGCACTTTGATAATTGCTTAAAGCTTCAAAGTAGATATACAACAAGAGATGCATCCCTGGTACGAGACATAAGATTTTTTGGTAACTTACTTCCAGTTTCTGGATGCAGTTGGACCTTTTCTACCTGATAGTGAGTTTTGGTGACTTCAGTTCACTTGGGTTTTGCTCAGTGAAGAAGTAATTTTTGGAAGCCTATGGAAGGCTTTGAGGTTGTCTTTGATGTGTGCATCTGTGTGCACTAGGAGTAGGCTTTCTCAAAAGAGCTGCTGGCTTTTCAAAGGTCAGGGTTAATGGTGCTTAGCTTTTACTTAATAGTCTACTTATTACATTCTCTGGAAATTTCAAACCTTCTCTGTTGGAGACCCTTCAAACATAAGGCTGAAGCATCACATTCCCTTTGGCTGGCCCATCTTGCATTCTCTCTTCAGCAGAGGCTGAAGGATTAAATAAAAGTATTGCTTTTCTGGATGAATGCTTTATATAAAATGTATTTCTAGAGCATTTGAGACTTTGAGAGGTAGCCCAGAACCTTCTGTAGAAGGAGCACCTATGGATCATAAGTGGATTGAGTTTTCTTCCTGTTGCCCTTCCCAAAGCGCAGAAGGACAAAGCAGAGATGTCATTTAACATCTCTGCTGACACCTTCTGCTATTCGCTGCCCATTGTGGCTCTTCAGTCAACTTGTTGACTATTCTTACTGTATTGTGGGATTCTTCACAAGCATATTCAGAGTGGAAGCCCAGTGTGGAGTTCTGGGTGAGGTGGTGAAGCCCTCAACCTGAAGTGCCTAGATTTAATAAATTCTATTCTTAGTACATCTGCTGCTAGAGGAGTTAGGCTTCATAGTTTGTAAAGTTTGAAGAAACCCGCTGTGTAGAATGTTGTTTGCCACAGTGTCAAAATCCCTCAGGATTGATGAAGGCTTCCTATGAACACACATCACCAAAAGCGGAAACCTTTGATTAATAAAACTTGATGTATCTGTAGAGTTAAAAATGGCTTCCAGCTAATCTGTTGACAAATACTGGGAGTCTGGAAATCCATCTTACTTTCTTTCCCTCACTTTTGTCTGCATTAAAGTGAAGCAAACACCTGCGTTGGTAGATGCTGTGCTAATTGGCATGTTGTCTTTAGACTGGTCTTCAGATGGTGGGCCATCTAAACTGTAACTGTTTAAAATGCTGGTTTATATAGAATATGCTGTTCTGAACTATCGTCAACTACCCAACAACCAGGAATGAAATCTCTTCTGTTACTGTTTTTTTTCTCTTTAGGACAAGTACAAGCGTGCCTTGGCAGATGCAGAAAACATAAGGCAAAGAAGCCAGAAACTGGTAGAAGAGGCAAAGTTATATGGTCAGTGGAGGCTCATTTTGTCTATGCTCCTAAGACCCAGGAAATGCTCAGCCTGGAAAACTGAGCTGACTGGTTCAGAGTTGGGACACATTGTACTTCCCAAGTCACTCTGACTCCTTGCTGGAAAAATGTATTTGACGCAGAGGTTTTAACAGTTCCTCACTTTGCATCAGAATTACAATCATCTCACTAGACAAGGGCAAGGCTCACACAGCTGACTTGAAATCTTCTGTCAGCTTGGTACCTGATTTCCTACAACATATCCTGCACTGGTATATTTTTCAGTAAGGTTTGCAGCCTCAAGTTTGCCATTTTCACACACTTTGGTCTCAGAACTGACTGCAGAATACTGACATGAAATAGCAGCTTTCCTTCTGGTTTAGGGTTTTTTGTTCTTGGTGGGTTTTTTGGGTTTGGTTCTTTTTTTGGGCCGGGTTGGTTTGGTTTAGTTTTTGATTTTATTTTTTTTTTAGCCTTTTATATTTGGATAACTTTTGTGTTCTGCTGAAGGCCATAGCTTTCAAACAGAAATAATACATTTAGATGGGTGGTTTCTTTTCAGTGGTAGAAATGTAAAATCACTGGCTAGGAGGAATGCTAGATACACATCTTCAACAGCTGGAGCCAGGCTACTGACATCTGATTCAGCTTTTTGACAGTTCAAACACAAACCTGTAAAACACGGTACACAAATACTGCAGCAGCAGAGTGCTGATCATTTTAGTGTTTGACTGTCACTCTGGCTTGAAAAATGAGTTGACCTTTTTTGCCACACACTATACACAGCTCTATAGTTTAATTCTGAATACAGAAGTTTTACATTTCTGAATACAGGGTCTTCAGTTAATGTGTGCTGTCAGAAAAAGCACCTCTCAGTTACACAGCGTTCTTGCACTGTTTTCATGGGTGTTTGAATACTTTGCTCTGAAGCTGATTTTCAGTAAGCGTTGTTTCACTGATACGCTGCTTAGTGCAGAAGGACTTTGAGTCATGTCTGAGCTCAGAAATTTTACAAAAACTATTCAGAAAACGTTTCTCATGAATACCAAATTACAGAAAATCTGCACAATTTTATCACCCGTATATGACTGCTTTTTCTGTTGAAGGAAGAGATGTGCAGTTGTTAGTGACCCATTCCTGAGAATTACCTGATCCCTATAGATTTTGCCAGGTGCTTTGATAGGATTTTTTATGTTTAAACCAAAGACTTGTGCTCTGGTAATGCTCATACCGCTTCTTGATAGGGAAAAACCTATCAAAATGCAGAGCAGTTTGTCACTGGTTCACCTCTACATAGAAATGTGTTATTTTACTGAACGCTTTTGTTTTTTTGTGATTTCTAGAAATTATTTGCCTTAAGTGAGATGAGGCCAGATTCTGTTAGTGTGAGCCAGAGAACAGCTTCAGGACAGGAGCTATCTTTACCTTAGGAATTGCTCAGTGTTTACAAGGCACGGCTTCTGACTCTGTACAAGTGGTTTGTAGTGGCAGGGAGAGGTGTGAGTTCTCACAGTGAATCACAGGAGTCGCTGTTCCCCTCTCAGACTCCTCATCAATCTGACTACATGCTTTTTCTTCTGGAAATATTTTTGGCACATCAGATTAAAGAGTAGGAATAGGGCAATATAATGCTTTGCACTTGAATCCCAGGATGAGAGAGGCATGAGGAAATGATGTTAATCTGAAGGGTTTGGTAATTTTGATTAGAATTTTAACTATTAATGTCAGGTCATTAGCGTAGCTTTAGCTCTTTAAGTTGAAATAATTTTTTTTCCATAGAAGTAGAGGAGGTGATGTGGATTTCAAGGTACCTATAATAATTCTGTGTCATCCAGTAAAACTGGAAAGGACATTTTACCCCAGATGTTTATGTATCTTGTTAAAAAGTCTAAAATAGTACGGATTATTTGTGGGGTTTGCGGCTGTGGTTGTTGGGCTGCCTGTTTCCCTCAGTGGATTAATTCCATTCCCTTCTGTTTCTTCTCAGGGATTCAGAGCTTCTGTAAGGACTTACTAGAAGTTGCAGACATTTTGGAGAAAGCAACTGAAAGTGTTCCGAAAGAAGAAATTAAGGATGAAAATCCTCACTTGAAGAGCTTATATGAAGGTCTCGTTATGACAGAAGTACAGATTCAGAAAGTGTTTAAAAAGCATGGCCTGCTCAGACTGAATCCTGTCGGAGCCAAGTTCGATCCCTATGAACACGAAGCATTGTTCCATGCTCCCATGGAAGGGAAGGAGCCTGGCACTATTGCATTAGTATCCAAGATTGGCTATAAGTTGCACGGGCGTACGCTGCGGCCCGCCTTGGTGGGTGTTGTAAAAGACGCTTAGCTGCTTAACCTGAGAAGGTAAAATGCCATACAACTATTAAACAGCTGGATGGTTTTCCTCTCACACTGTGCTTTCCTCATTCCTTTGCCCCCTGAGAGGTCTAAATGAATTGTTTGAGGTCTCCCAGTGAAAATGAAGCAACCAGTGAAATTCTCCTGCTTAGTGGCCTTCAACATAACTGTTCCATCAGCTCTCTTCTCAAGTGTGAAATACAAGAGCCATTAAGCTCCCTAATGCTGTAGATAATGTTTTTTACAACTATTGCTCCCAAAGGTGCATTAAATTGAAAGGAACAAAATGCTCACAAGAATTCTGCATCACGTTTATCATTGTGTGTAGACTGAAAATCCAGATCGTGGCTCAAACACTTCTTTTGGTTTGTAGAATCCAACACTGCAGAAGTGGGTGAAGTACAAATAACCCCTTTTCTGCAAGCACCCATCAGCTTTTATGTGATAAAAATTTTTTTTTAATGTCCATTCAGAAATGTGGGCAACTGAAATGGAAACCTTGGTGAGTTCTGATGTGTAAATAAACGGCAATGGAGAGCAGACATCCTCTGTAAGTGTTCAACCCTTTTGGTCCTGTGCTAATGTTGACTCAAGAAAACCATCTAATACTTGTATGGCATTGAAGAACCAACAGAATTTATCCTATCTGGATTTTTAATTTAATATTGTATAAATTGGTTTAAACAATTTTGATAGTCTTGTAACTTCCAAGCTTTTACACTCAGTTTGGTATGCAAACTGTAGTTACATCCTTGCTGAAAGCCAGAATGGCAACGTAAGTGAGTAGCTGAGAGTTTGGTACATACTGTCTTTTAGAATTACATAAATAATTGCATGTAAGTGGCTCAAACAGAAATGTGAACTTAGTTTCATCTGCATTTCTTGCATTTACTCACCTTGGATCTTAAGTTGGAAAAGAACTTTCCCGTGCACAGCTCTCGCCCTGTCTAAACTGCATGTGCTGCTCCCAGTCCTGCAGAATCAGGCTAAAATACAGTCCATGATCAACTCCATGCTTTGCCCATATGTGTCTGGTCACCTGGATAGGATGGAAACTGGCAGATTACACAACTGGCAAAGCCTCTTGTATCCTCAAAGCCCACACATCTAACACAGGACAGAAACCTCAAACTTACTTATGCGTGTTATTAGGACCTGGTAGATAGTACTGCTGAATTTTCACCCTTGTTTCTGGTTGTCTTACATCAAGGACCTTCTGCCTTAAGGTCAAGTATTGATTATTTTCTGTGGTTCAGAGGCAGAGTAGCCAACCGTTTACTGAACACAAGACCTGCTCATGGGGAGAGCTGATTACATCTCCTTCAAGACTTACTTTCCTGTGCTGGTTTACCTTCTGGGAATAAGTTAACTAGAAACAACCTAAGTGCACACTACTGCTGAGGGTACAGTCATGTTTAAGGATTCATTCATTCACAACTCAAAGAAAATCAGCCTTTTGACTGGGCAGGGGAGGGAGAATGATTTTTGGTACATGAAAAATTGAATTGGAAAGTAACTTCCATCTGGGTTACAGCAGGCTGGAGCTGTGTTCTACCCCCTCCCAACCCCTCTGGATCTAAACTAAATCTAATAACTTCATTAGTATGGAAGTTTTGCAGTAGGGCAATTAAAACAAAGGGCAGCTTCTTCCCTAGCAGATAAAGCTTTTGTTAATGGGCTTCCTAGCCCTTCACACAAGCTTGTCTCTTTTGGGCTGTATTACTTCATTCAGGGTCTTCTTAAACAAAAGTTACTTTTAAGTGTTCAGTGCAAGACTCAAACTAGTAGTTTTAAATCTCATTTAAGTGGTTCTCTTTCCTTGGCCTGCCTGTTCAGAGAAACTTTCAGCATGGAGAGCTTCAGTCTTCACTGAGAGCTCAAACCACGGGTGCGCTTTGCCATACAACAGTAAGAAGCACTGAAGAAATCAAAGAACAGAGGGAGGTTATTCTGAAATTTAAGCATAAGAGCAGGCAACAAAGCTACCACCAGTACCTCTGCCTTAGCTCTTTTATAAACACCACTTCTCCACCCACCATTAGTTGGCTAAACTGCATCTCCATTTGTTATTGCAAAGACTTAAGCCATGTTCCTCATAATACAAGCTACATTGCCATTAAATCAATAATGGAAAGAAACTTTAATACAAGTTTATTTACCAATATACAATGCAAAAACCTAATAAAATGCTGAGTGTGCACAACATCAGTTAGGTTTTACATGACTTCAGCACAGGCATTTGTGTGTCTGGCACAGGTACACCAGTACACCATTCAAATGAGTGCAACATTCCCTTTAAGGAAGCAGCTGACAAGCTGAGCATGCTCACCAGGTACCTTCCTTCACAGTATTTAATGTGTTATCACTTAAGAGCAACTGGGGCACATGCAAAAACATTTTGCAAGAAGAGAGTAAACTGAAAGGCCAAAAAAGTCCATTACGGTTGCAAAGAAACTTGATGCAGCCACCGCACAAGAGAGTAATGGCAGAGTGCTTAGTCTGCGTGACTGACAAGGCAGTTTGTGGTCAAAGACTCATGCAAACCTACTGATGCTGTTCTTAATGCTTGCTGGGACAGCAACAAAACGTAAGGCAGGAGGGTCTGTATTCAGAATATTCTCGTAACAAACCCTTCTGCACTGGCAGAGTGGAGAACAATGCTCCCTTGTTACCTGGTAAGCAAATATTGCTGTAAAAAAAACATCACTGTGACTGGACTGATCAAAGTAAATGTACAGCATTAAAACAGACATATTGCTGCCTCTATCAGTAGCAGAAGACCAGTATTTTGAACAGCTTATGGAGTGTGAGTTTTTCATAGGCTTACATCAATGCTGTTAGGACAGATGCTATCATTAGTAATATCTTCCATTAGAAAAGTCAAGAGCATAAGCATATAAAACACCTTTTCATTAGCAACATGAAGGCTAGGTTACTTGTACAGTACAGGAAGCACTTTCCAGATCAACACAAGATACAGGTTGAGCTCTTTGCCATGTGTTTGCTCAGCCCCTTCACCACAGAAGAGAAGCAGTGTAGCTCTAGTTAACTGCAGGATCAACATAACTACATCTCAGCTTAACAAACAAACAAACAAAAAACCAGCAGCTCATAACAAAGGAATGCTTTGACTAAATCAGTTCCATGTGAAAACATGGAACAGCAGCATCCTCTAGTGCAAGTCACCTTAAAAATTCAAAGCATAGCTGACAATGAGACATTGCTTCTAGGGAAGCCCTTTCCAAGGGACTAGTATTTGCTAAAGCAAACATTCACCACCTTGAATTTGCTTGCAAGTATAAAATAAATATTGATATCCATATTTCATACATTAAAAATACTTTATTTTTACATTCATTTAGATGTTCAATAAGTTACGTCTAGCACCAAAGAAACATTTTGGAGGGGCTGAGGCGTTAAGAAACTACAAAGTGTAACTGCAGAGTTCAACATTTAAATGACTCATTGGTGCCTAGATACTGTCTTAAGTTATCATTCAGATGGGCTTTAGACTATTGCTTCAGTTCCATTTGGATGTGCCACAACAGCGTAGAAATATAAAAATCACAGATCTGAGGAAAATAATAATAGTAATAAAAAAAATAGCTTTTAAACTCCCAGCTACGTGCAGAGTTGAGGCTCCAGAACATTAGCAGTAATGGGATGTTATAGCAGTTCAGGAACAAGGTACAGGAAGAACCAGATTGCATAACTAGAATGCCAGAAAGGCTGAGCATCCCTTCTGCAGGGGTAGGGCAGAAAATAACCAAGGGTTTATACCTTATGAACTTGTGTGCTTTTTGTACAGTGTACAGGGTTGAAATGGTTCTTAGAGCTACTCAGCACATTGCAGTTAGTTCCACTGCTGCCAAAGAGAGACAGTTTTGTCTCAAGTATTCCACAACGAGCCACTTACAGGTAAGCCAAAGAAAGTGTTACATCCAAGAGGACATGGCCCTTCCCTTTTCTGAAGGGACAGAACATCAAACATCACAAGCTCAAAAGAAAAAGGCACTAGAGTTTTGGTTTTCTCTTCCTTAGAAATGCTGGCTTTGTAATTGTACCCATTTTATTCTAACCTCACTGGTAACACTATTTTGGTAATGCTGGATATGATAACTAAACCCCAGTTCCCATCAGTACACCTATGCCAAGTTGCAGAATTAATACTGGTTCAATATTTTGTGGTATCCTCACTGACTACAGCCCAAAGCATCAAAGCAAGATGACCTTTCCAGTCCTCACACCTGTTCTGGAGCCAGTCAAATTCCATGTTTTGGCTCTCTTGCACTCCAGAAGACCTGCCCAACTGGCTTCTGGTCCCAGCTTCCTGCTCTGGACAGAACCAGTGGAGAGGCTTAGGCCAAGTACCACTGTGCTGTCTTCCACATGGCAACCACCGTATTTATTCATTTGGTTAAATACCGGCACAGGAATTTAAGGTTGAAACAAGCATAAAAGTCCTTTCCTAGTCCTCCTTCAACATATTTCTCCTAATTTAGTAGATCCTACTAACCCAGTGCTGTGGATCTAGTATGTCTTTCACTTGCAGTGTTACACCTGGCCAGAGGGTGCCTGTTGTGAGCACCCAGTTCAGACTGTAGTGTTAGAATTGGGAAAAGTCACCTCTCCAGATGCACTGTTCTCACCACAGTGGGCTGCACTCACAGTTCTCCTGCCATGTCAGTAACTTCAACACATGTGGCCTGGTATGTTTCAAGGTATGTGCGATCAGAACCCTGTAAGACCTTGATTACAGCTCTGCACTTCAGAAGCACATGAGCTCTGCCCTTTGACCTCATCTGTATCACTTCTCTCTTTTGGTTTTAAAGCCCAGTCTGTGATAACTCCTTTTTAGTCTCACTCCCTTTCCCTGTCCCTCCCAAAGCTGAGGAGGAGCCAGCAGCTACACCTCCCCAGCCCATACAAGCTCAGAAGATTTATAGACGCCGAATGAGGAGTAGGCTCCTCCAACAAGAGGGTACGGTGATTTTGTTGCCCAAGGCTCCCAGCTACTGACAAACGACTTGCTCCCTGTCTTTCCAAAACCCATTTCTGGCCCAAATCAGCCACTTGGCAGTGGTGCTGACCCCACACAGCACCACAGCTGCCCTGCACTCCTGCAACTTTGCTATTCATTAGTGAACATCAAAGCTTCAGTGGGGTCCATTTCATCCAAACCTCAATGTCAAAGCTCCGTCTGGATCAGTTGGGTACAAAGGCAGCTCTTCAAGAATCCTTTCCACAGCACAAGTACCTTAAGGCATCTCACCTACTGCATTTCTTCCCTTCCACTCACTGCCATTTCTCATCCCTGCTGCATTCCTGACAGAAACTCACCCGCTGTCCCAGCCTTGGCTGTAGTTACTAAGGAGAATGTTCTGAAAGCTTAGCACTGGTCATCTGGAAGCACATTTGGAAGCTTCACTTTCCTGCCAGCATTACACCAAAAAAGACAACAAAGGGAGAAGAAAGTTTCCAGCAAATGAAACTATCTCCCACCTTCAAACAAAAGCAAGGATTACACCAATACTCATTGATCCAGTAGTAAGGAGTAAGTAACTACTCTGAGACTACTAGAATTGAGTAAGTTCATGTGGAAGAAATCTGGATGAATAATGTACCAAAAGCAGTGAAATCCAATGCAGAAGTTTCACAATTAAGTATTTTCCATGATCCAAAGCAAAAGTCCATTTGAACCATGGATCACAAATACTGAGGGGGTTTATGCATTCGCATTGTTGTTGCTGTTGATTTTAAGTGACATGATTTCTGTATCTGTGGGGAGGGAAGGAAAAACTAATGGAGTCCTTGAGGCTCTAATGTGCCTCTGCTGTGTACTTTCAGATCAGCTGAGTTTCAGGAAGCATCCCTGGATATCCAACCACTTTCTGTTAGAAAGTTTAAAATCCTTTTCTTCAGTACCTTGTCTAAGTAACTGGGAAGGCGACTCTTGGAAGGAATTCCTTGTCTTTTTTGGAGATGGTCTTTAATGATTATAGTTTTTACAGTCACGTAACGTGCAGGACTCAGATTTAGAGAGCTGCAGAGCACCTTTTCCCTGTCTGATAAGAGTTCAAAGCCAGGTAGGTTTTCAATGGCAGCAAATTCACCCTCTTTTCCATCTTCCTTCCCTCTCTTGGAGCTCGCTATGTTTTTGTTCTCCTTCCTCTTTTCCCGTTTATGCCTGGCTGCCTCGTATTCTGCCGACTCTTCCATTTTGGTGATCCCATTCCGACGGTACCGCTGCAGCTCCCGAATCTTTGCTCGGAGTATCCTCTCCTTGTGCATGTTCTCAAAGAAGTCTTCAAACTCCTTACAAGACATGAACTGGTACAGAGGCCTCAGTTTCAGCCTCAGCTCCTTCTCCTCCTTAGTGATCTTTCGTTTGGGAGCTTTCTCCTTGTCCTTTTTATCCTTCCCCAGAAAGGCTGGTACCAAGTTATAGTCTCGTGCAATGTTCTTCCGCCGCTGCCTCTCCTTGAGCTTCCTCACATACATGTCTACATGAGCTCTTTTCAACTCTATCTCCACATCGTCATCGTCGTAGTTCACCGAGAGGCCGCTGATGAGGGTTTCCGCATCCTGATCGTATTCGATCTCGTAGTCATCCCGCAGCGGCATGTACCCAAGCTGCTGCTGCTCTGCCACTGTTATGTCCAGTGGTGGCAGCGGTGTGGTCAGGCTGGGCGACAGCGGCCCGCCACTGGGACACGTGTGATCCGTCACTCGGTTTGGGATCGTGTCAGGGATGCAGGCTTTACCCAGGTTGCCGTGAATATACATGCTCACATAGTGCTCCATCACCTCCTGGGGCGTTCGGGATGCTCCCACATGAGCAGCCATGTCCTCCTAAATGGAACATAAGGAGGAGTGATCAAATGATTCCCATTACATCTCCAGCATAACATGCACTCAGGGAAGAGCCTGACTTCCTCCCTGCTCCTCAAAAGCCAGCTCATAGTACTTAAGCTCTTCTAGCAATGCTGAGATTAGCTACATTTCCATCAGATCTGTGTTCTTAGGTCCAGACAAGTATTTACAAGCACACAGGTGCACACTGGCCATGAAAGCAGCACCAGAAGCAGCACCAAGGCAAACTGCATCAGATCCTCAGGCTACAGAACACCACCAAGACACTGAAGCCATATGGTGATTCCGGATCATCCATCACTCTCTCAGAAATCCAGCTCACCATCACTAGGAAGCTTTCTGAGTCCCAAGCCAGCACCAAGATCACTGCATCATTTGAATTTTACTCATTTATATCACATCGCTGAGGTACTTTTAGAGCAATAAAGAAACACAGTACTTACAGTAAGAAAGATAACATTTACTCTTTTCTAGTTGGTTAAGAACTAAACCAAGGTACAAGAATCATAAACTTTAAGATTTTGAAGAAATCTTTATGTTTAATAAAACAAACTATGATCAAGTAACAACTATTGAATCAGATTATGATGGTTTTTACTGCTATTCTTTAAAAATGAACACGTACTGACACGGAAAGCAAGTAGCAAGCTCACAGCTGGGACACAGCACAGTCAGGGTTGAAAAGGACCTTAAGATCATCCAGTTCCAACCCCCCTTCCATGGGCAGGCACACCTCACACTAAACCATGGCACCCAAGGCTCTGTCCAACCTGCCCTTGAACACTGCCAGGGATGGAGCATTCACAACTTCCCTGGGCAACCCATTCCAGTGCCTCACCACCCTCACAGTAAAGAACACACTGAAGGAACAGACCGAACACTGAGAAGCACCAGGTGTAAGCTCTGTCACACACAGGCTCGGGGAGGGCCAGTGCTTGAGCTCACGGCACCACAGGTCCGCGAAGGCGAGCGGTCCCGAGGCGCTCCTTCCCCCGGCGGGTCTCACACGGGGGCCGAGCACCTACCCTCACCGCGGCTCAGCGGGCACCCCCCGCAGCCTCTCCTCAGGCCTGCCGGGTTCCACTCACTCGCTGTCAGGCGGACGGGACACCGCGGCCCTTGGCCCTTACCCAGTTGCCGAAGCCGAACTGCTCGATGGCGTCCAGCAGCAACTGCTCCTCCCGGCTGCTCCAGCCGCCCTCGGCCTCGGCGCCCCAGAGGGTGAAGCGGCCGCCGTCGACGAGCTGGTAGCCGTGCCATCGGCGGTGCGGGCCGATCTCGGCGCCCGCCGAGAAGCAGTCGGGGCAGAGCTCGATGTCGGCGCACTCGGTGCAGCGGAAGCGCAGCGGGCTCACCTCAGCCAGGCAGTACACGCAGTACTTCTTCCCCAGTTCCGCCATCTTACCCCGCCCGCCGACACGCCGCGCGCACGCGCCGGCACGCCCCCCACCGTCCTTGCCAATGGCAGCGCGCCCGGCGGGCGGAGCCCCGCGACGTACAGCCAACGGGAAAGGAGGGCTCGGCCTTCCCCTCGGCCTCCCTGCCAATGGGGACAGCGCGCCTGGGCGCGGGGGGTATTAAAGCGAATGAACGGCTATGATTGGCAGACAGGGACCCGGCTTCCTTTCCCACGACCAATCGAAAGGGCGACCCAGAGCAACCCCGCCGCTGACTGGTTAGTTCCGGCGGGAGGGGGCGAGGCCGAGCCGGCGCCATGGGGAGAGGGGAGGGGCCGCGGCTGCCGCGGAGCGGAGTCCCGTTGCCCGGCAACGGGGGAAGCGGGAGCAGCGCGGCCGAGGAGGCGGCGGCGGGGCCAGCCCGGGTCTCTCAGCAGAATCCGCGGGGAGCCGGAGCAGGCAGGGCCCTTGGAGCCATCACAGCCGCAGGTCGCGACGGGACCGCCGGAGCCCTCGGGGCTGTGCCGAGGACCGAAGGCGAACAGGATGAAGAGGCCCCGGTCTCTCCGGTGCCGGCTGCCCCCCGCGGGGCCCCGGAGGAGCGGGCTGCGGTCCGAGCAAGCGCCAGCCCGCAGCTACGGGAGGTCGGGCCGCTACGGGCGGAGCTGGGCGAAGCGCCGCTGTGTGTCCAGCGGCTGCGGGAGGAGCGGCAGGCCCGGGCCTAGGCCTAGTGTTCCGCCCCCTAACATCTACCCCTTGGGAATTAACCACCACAAGAGTTACAATAGTTTTCTCCCCTTGACACTTTATTATTGTCATGACCTATTTTGAACAGGAGCACTTCTCTGCGGGCCTAGAAGAGTAGAAACAGACTAGTTTTATTTCTTTAATGCTTGCCTCACCAGCAAAGAGGGTCAACGCTTTATGGACCTCGAGTACGTGACAAAAAGAGAATCAGAAACTCAGGGAAAAGACTGGCAACCTCAGTGAGCAAACCCTGAGGAAGGTACCAAACACAGTCCATGTTCTCAGCCACTTCAAGGGAAAAAAAGTGTGTGGAAGCTCAAAATCAAGGCAGAAACACCAAACTAACGGACGTTAAAACCACTTTGTCACAACATAGAGACATTCTGACCGCAATGAAATAGGCTAGAGGTGCTGTGAAGAAACTATTGAAATTGCAGGAGAAATGTGGGTTGCCTGGAGATGAGATACTGCTTCAGGACTGTGAGGAAAAGGTGGCTATGGTTGAGCTGTTGAGTTGGCAGTTGGAAGCGCTGAAACATCCCCGTGCTGGGCTGCTCCTTACTTGTAGAGGAATCCAGATAAAAAAAAAAAAAGCCAAGGAAGTGAATTCCTCTGTTGTTGCTGAGGATGACTAAAGAGAAGCAAATGTGAAGAAGAAATACGGGAGGTTCCCATAATTCTGACATGCTGCTTTCTGGCGAGTTTTGGGGAATACATTGCACAGGTACTCCTGAAAAAGCCTCTTCTAAGTGACACGTCAGCATTATGCATTCAGTGATTACAGTAGCTACTCATTTTGAATTAAATGATACACATCCCTGTCTTAAACCAACAAAAAAAGCCTCATTCAAAATTCCACACTTAAAAAAACAGCATCCAGTCCTTTAGGGCTATGGCAACACTGTGTAAACAGAGCACTCCCCATAACACTAACTCAAATCCATTCTCCCTCTGTATGGATTTCATAAATTGGTGTTGGCTTTGTCTGCACACTAAATGTACCTTATTCTGGGCACAGCCTAAGAGGGAGTTTTCATAGATGTGGCTGAGAAGTGGAGAGAACCTTGTCATCAATACCTGGCACAACCTGCACACAGCCAATGTTCTACAGAAGCACTAAACTGTTCAGCCATTCTGTAAATACACCTGGCTGCCAAGTTTGCCTTGGGGATGCACAGGAAGAAAGGTTTAAGAGCTGTTTTCATCGTATAAATACATACATACATAAATCTTATCACTCAAAGCTACATTATTTTTGGCTTTCAGCTTTTATAGTTTTAGGGGTCACTCAGCCTCTTCCTCCTCATTCATGGTGTGTAAAAGGCAGAGAGTTCAGTACACCCAACACTGTGTCAGTCCCCTCTGCACTGCTCAACTAGAATTGAAAAAAAGAGGCTGAAGAAAAAGGGGAGGGGAGCAACAAACATCTACACATTTATGCATGCAGAGCTCACAGAGCTTTAGTTACAGAAAGCAGCTTCCCCTTTCCAAACAATTCTTTAAACTCCAGTTCCCCCATGAGAGTGATTGAGACCACTCAAAAAAGAGGAAAAGAAACAAGAAAAACAAATAAAAAAGACATAAAGAAACACCAAAATCAGTACCTTTCATTTTGAGCCTTGTTAGTAAAAGCGACATCTCCTGCTCAGAGTGGCTGTTCACATAAGTCCAATACCTTCCTGGTATTCCATGGAACTGCTTTCATAAATAATAAACACTGATCAAGTCATCTCCCCTTCTTAAACATGAGTGCCAGCAAAACTCGTGCTTCTTGTTGCTTTTGACTTAGGGCATACAGACCTCCTCTAGCTTCTTCATCACTATTAAGCAATATATATATATATATCCAGATAAAGTGTGGAGAAGCAGGGAAAGTAAATCTTCAATGCTTTTGATTGCTACGTTTGACATCTGGAGAAGGCAAGAATTTAAGATGCAAATGATGCTGATAGTATATTCCCTGAACTGAGTACTTCCACTGAAATAAATACTACAAAAACATTTGCTTAAACTTCACACACTGTCCCCAGCACTTCTTAGGGCTGAGTTGTGGACACACTGCTACCCTAGCCTTCCAAAGCACCCTGGGGATGAAGATCAAGGATTCCTCCATTGTCAGGAAGCAGTAAAGACAAATGTCTTTATTTCCTCATATCATCTGTTACCATGCAGGAAAGTATTTCACTTCTCTTCAAACAGACTGGAATTAATATTGGAAAAACAGGTAAGGAAAAGTTTTGAACAATTTTATGCAACTCTTGTAATGTATACAACATAAAGCTCTATTGGCATCGAATTGGATGGGGCTTATATGAAGCAATTCTGATTTTATGTTATAATCCTGCAAATCAAACAGAAAAAACCTTCAGTAAAAGGAAGTGAGACACACATTTACTGGAGGAACTAGAGCCATGGCAGCCAAGTCTTTGACTGTGTTCCCTGTGTAGTCCTGTTGCACAGGTACTGTCTTCTCTCTCCTTTCATCTTTTACTTGGTGCTTTAACCTCTTTGCAGTTAAGTAAGAAACAGGAAGCATTTCTAGTTTAATCTCTGAAGTTATGCCTGTGTAAGTATTAAAAAAAATACTGCCCTGAGCACAAAAATGCCTTGTGATTATGAAACCTGCAATAACCCAAGGTTTCTTCTTCTAAAACAAAGAGCATTTGAGTTCTGCGCATCTCACAAAGGTATATTTACATACGTTTTTCATGTTCTATTACATCTCAGACTTACTTCATAGAAAGCCATATGACATGGATGAAACCATGGGCACCATGCCGTAAGCACCAAATCTCCTAAATGTCACATGTAATGTAACAGGTATTTTAACATGAGAACTTGGTAAGCATCATCAAAAAAATTCTCCACCTGCAGTACTCCAATGTCCCAGCTCCTGATCTGGGACAAACTGCTAAAGCAGCCTCTGAAGAAACAGAAAGATACTTGACTTTTTCATGTCTGAATTCCACTGGCCACAGGTCAGATAACTTTGCATGACTTTATTTAACAAAACCATATATTTACAGTTGAAAAAAGTTCCAGCTTGATACACATATCTAACTGAAACAAACTTAACTACATAAAACCGATTTAAATATGATGTACAGGAGATGTATCAACAGTTCTCTACGTGTCATTCCAGGTTTCAAATAATTCAAAAATAAGCTGTTAGAAGGTACCTTTTTGTAAAAAAAGGAAATTCTTTACTCAATGAAGTAATGTCAATGATTGATTGCTGACTGAAGTTGCAAAACGGCTTTATTATAAAGTGCAGGTTGTACACAATTCCAAACCTGGTTGAAGATTTCTGGTTTCTCTGATCTGCTGCATGTACTTGCAGATATTTGCAGACTCCTGATGTACTGCAGCATTTTTATTTTCCCTCAAACCCATTAAGACAAGAAAGTTTGCTTGACAGGGACACTTACTCAGTGAAAGAAAATCTCATGCATCTTGTTACAGATACCCTCAAGCACCTGAACAATAAAATTGTCATTTTTTTTTAATGCAATCCCTGAATTTATTACAGAATTCTTCCTTAATAGCTAATGAAGAGATTTGGTATGCTGCAAGAGACTTGAAAAGCTCAGTGGCAAGTCTATGCCCTCACTACTCATCTCTGGTTTTATCAAAATTCAAGCGTTACCTTCAAATCAAGTTGCTGAGAAGTTGCAACAATGGCATCTTTAGGCAGGTGATTGCTTTTTCAAATGTATTTAGTTTGAAAACGAACTGTGCAAAGCTCCTTATTGCATTGCTTTTCTTCATTAAAGAACATACCTTATATACACAAAGAAATCATTTAGAAAATATATACATCTTCTAAGAACAGAAAGACCAAATCACAAACCAAAAATAATTACATTAGCAAGTAACAAACAGTGCACAAGTGTTGCAGCAGGCCTTTTTCCCCACAGCTATGCCCATTTTCACTGTTACATTCAACATCTTTTTGAGAAGAGAAAAAGGAGAACAGGCTGTCAATGGCTGCAAAGATACCTAGGAGCTAAAGAATGCATTTTAACCGGACAAATGAGCCACACTTGTAGACTACCTTTAAAAGGAAATATAAACCTAGTTGCAATGAAGACTTAAATCACAAAGCCAGTTACAGTACCACCTAAAAATGTAGACTGAGGAAAAAGTTGTGTCTGTGTTGAGGAAACCATTTACAAGCATAGTGCAAGTGTTTCAGGTGGTAGGCCTCTCATATCCTTCATGGAAAGGCGTATTTGTTGTAGTAATAGAAAAAGTAACATTAAAAAACACTTACTGACCGTCCAGCTTTCTTATTGCACTTCGAAGCAATGTAGCATACAAGTACTGGTCACTGAAGGACCAAAGCTATACAAATTCCGGGAGAACTAACATGTGTTTCACAGCAACACCTTGATGTCTATTTTTAGTAAGTGATGACCTAAGAGAAGTCTTATGGAGGAATTAAGATGGCCAAGAAAAACCCACATCCATTATGCCAGGTACACAAAGGGGACAGGAAAAAGAGGCCAGTGAGGTATCAGACTGTCAAGCTGCATTTGCGTGACACATTGTTCAAAGTGATTATGAGACCTCACTTACCAGGGAATCTTGCTTTCCCTCTTTTTCATATTACTATCAGGCTATCCCTCGCAGAAACAATGCTTATACCGAACGACAGTAGTTTCATTATGTCCCACTGTCCTTTACATGATGAGTTGAGCAGTGTGCAACTATTATTCTATTTTCATTCACACAATGCCGAAATATCAGTGTAAAACAGACTGAAGAGCATTGGGAAACTGCTGACCATACAGCTAGAGGATTTAGTAACCCCTGTTTACAGTTAACATAAATATTGCTCCAGTTAGTTTCCCTTTTCAATGATCGTCATTAATTATAAAACAGATTTTTCACTATACAATAAACATTCCTGTAAATCAGAGGCACTCATGATTTACAGTCTGACATCCATGTGAATGCAGAGGGGAGCTAAGCTGTATAACCATAATGCAGTTTGCTGCCTCTGTAACTTGCTCCCATGTCTGAGAGGCTGGATAAAATGCTAGGAAGTGACAGCTTGTACTTTTCCTGATGGTATTTGTCTGGCACATTCCCCAATAAACGTCTGTCGCTTGTCACTACACACAGATCAGGTCCACATAACGCTTTCTCACTGTGGCGGTAGCAGCAGCTTCAGTAGATCCTACAGAGCCTTTCTTTGCAGCAGCAAAGCTGGCTTACACAACTTCTCCCTTAAACCCTTCCTCCTTGGTTTTGCCAGTGAGCAGAGCTGGGTTTAGATAAGCATGAAACTTACTTTTAACCATTTCTCAGTTCATCTGCTCAGCCCACTGTTTTATCAGCATGATTGGAGAGATGGCACAGGAGTAAGTATGTGGTAGGCAAGAATACCGTGAAACAGCCCCAGAAGAGAGACACATGGAGACATACACTTAGTAGTATGATTGGGAAATGATGCCAGCTTAATACTTGAAGCCCCACAGTGAGTTTGGAATCTAGTCTGATTAATGGCTATGCATCTAGACTGGAAAAATATATTTCTGAGACATCTTGGAGAATAATTGGCTTTGCACTGCTAGTGTGACTTCTCTTCCAAGTTTACTTTCTACTTAACATTTTCTTACTAAAGAATGGAATGTAGTTCTACATCTACATGATTTCTTTGGTAAATGGGACCCACAGCCTATAAAACAAGAAGCAGTTCTAAACAAATGGTCTTTACATCATTTAACTATAAATTCCAGCACCAGTTATTTAAAATCCAGATCCAGCTACTGTTACAGGTATAGGAGATACAGAAATATATCCTGCCCAAGACTGAAATTGGGGAATAGCATTCAAAGCAACCAGCATTGCTGAATGCCCAGTCTTTTAAAACATCAAAGAAAAAAAAAAATCATAAAATGACACTGTTTAAGCTTCACTGCCCTCATCAGAAGATCAGAATGTATAGCGCTGTCCACAGCAAATGTTCATTCCACTAAAAGTTTAAGGCTAATCCTAGGTTTAATTTATAAGGTTTTTATCCCTCAATTTCCTTCCCGTCCCTCCCCTTCTCTTGTTTCCTCTCTTCTCTTTAAGGCTATTCTACTACTAAACAAAACGCTGAAATAACACTTCACGTTGCAGGCTCACGTATGTCAGACATTACTCAATACTTCTGCTACTGTAGCTCCTTTCACTGTGGACAGCCACGTTTTTAATGTTTGAGTGAGGGACTTCCTCTCTCCATTTCCCGGTTATCTTTCTGCAGAGCAGCCAGGATCTAGAATGAGAGAGAACAAAGTATTAGAATTGTCTGAACAGTTTCCAATTTAATTCTCTCTTAGCAATACTATTCTAACTATTAAATGTAATCAAATTTGGAGAACCTCTCCATTGATGGAGACCTCTCCTGTAAGTCCTTGTGGCACAGTAGATACAAATGGATTTTATAAGGGTTTAAACTCAATTTCCCCGCAGCACACACTTTTGAAGCCTGGAGATGAGATTCTTGCCCAGATTACACAAGTCCAGCACTATTAAAGGATGCTGCCTGAGGGGAAGTTATATTTCTCAAGGTAAATGGAATATCTGATCAAGTCATCAGCCAGAGCCATACAGCATTATCTGAGAGTCTGGAACAGAACTACCTTCATGCTGCCTGGTGCTTGCCTAGAGTGCATCAGCATCTCTAGATCTGCTTCCATCTTTTTTGGAAGCAAAAAGTCCACATTCACATTGAAAACATGTATTTCCCAGTATCTGACGCACAATTAGGTTTGTTAGTCCTTGTGCAGAGGGCACAGTAAGAGCCGGTTTCTCATGCTGCTTAACACACTCCCTGCCCTAGAGTTAGTGTCTGCTGAGGAAGTCCATCAGCGTTCTCAAGAATCAGCCTGGAACTTAATGTGTTGAGGGACATTTCATCTCAAAGACTTGCCGTTATGAGTTAAGGAACTTTCTTTTCTCCCTCTGACTGACTTCAAGCCAACCTGTGCACAATCAAGAGTTAACAGCAGGTGGGGCTCAATTGCTCTCATGGCAATCACACCCCTCACCTACACTTCAGTGCAAAAGCACCCATAGCTGTTACAAGAGTTCAACATGGGTCTGACCAGAGCTACAGCTGGCTGACTTCTCAGCAGTTTCTAGAATTGGAGATTTCAGTGAGGTCCTCTTCACTGAGATGCAGGGTAAATCAGCAGCTACTCAATCAAATGGGCTTATGAATTTCAAGTGCCAAATGTCCTTGGTGGAAAAGAGTTAACCCTTTTTAAGGGCCACAAGAATGACACCAAAATACTTATCCACAGAAGCAGAACACACACAGACCTTAAGCCAACTAACAGAGCTCAGATTCTCTAGTTACTTGGAAAACCTTAAGGAGCCAAGATTTGAAGCACACAGACTACAGAAATGTTAAGCCAACAGTGTAGTCTGTTCTACCATCTCTATTCCTCTGCTGTTGATGACAAAGCAGTAGGTGTAGCAACATCCACACCTATTTCAGGCTAAGGCTTTATTGGCACAAGGCCCTGGAGTTCTTTGTAGGTAATTCCAGAATAAAAACAGAGCATGCAGGTTTCCTACCAATACCCAGAGTCCTTGTCGCTAGAAGTGCTGTGTCCATGATTTACTAGGACTCCTTGCAGTCTTTAGTTTCCTGATCGCATTGTCAGTGACCAAGGGAAAAGGGAGCGAGATGGAAAACACACACCAGCCCATCTGATGAAGGAACCAGGACTGTGAAAATCAGCTTCATAAGCAGCCCACATTTTAGATGAGATCCTACACACATTATCTCTAGACAGCATCAGCTCAGAATGTGACCCACAAGATAACAGGACTGTAATTACCATGGTACAGGAAGTTGAAAGGTTTTCTAAGTGGGTGTTCTGAGTGCCAAGTACACCTACTGCTGAGATGTGCAGCTAAATTTGACTTCTGAGTTCCACAGTCAAATATATTCCTACAAAGAAATAATACCTCAGACTCTGCTGTTTGCTTATGCAGCTTATGCATAGGTACTGTACTCAGGTGAGATGATGTTAAAGATAAGAATACAAAGCCTACTTTTCTAAGCTCAAGAGCATTCTACATCCTCTGGGAGCTAGTGTGCCTGGTCAGTCAGTTCACCCAAGAGTTCATCTTGGAAGTGGTGCATTCATCGCTCTTGATATCCATTTTGCCAATTTGAAAAGGTACTTCCCTACAGAAAACGCATCTGACTTCTACAGCACTAGTCACAGTCAGAAAATTAGCTAGCTAGGAGACATCTAAGTAATAGAAAACAAAATCCCATAGCCCCTGTGTCTTGTTAACTTTCCTAGGTCAGATCCACTTGTGGTACCTTAGCAACTGAGCAGTCCCAGTAAGTGCATGACATGAGCAAGATCATAGCTCCTACACACTTCTGGCTTGGAAAATGATGGCAGGCTAGAGAGCAAGCAGGCTTTCCTGATGGGAACTTACTCAGCAATGGAACTTCCTGGTCAAGAAAACCAGCTGGTACAGAAGTCAAGCTAGGCAAGAGGTCAGCCAACACCAACCCTACACCATGCTAACTCTATCAGAGATCTGTTCGCACCACAGTTCAGCAACGTTTTTAATTCAGCTTGCCACAACAAGCAAAAGCCATCTGGAAAATACCAGGACTGTCAGAATGAAGCTGGTGAGGAAGACTGCCTGGGTGAGGTTACTTTGAAGTCCTTCTCCTGTTGTGATCATCACCACCAAACCATCATGTGTCGCATACTGAAAACAACTGGCTAAGAAAGTCTGTTACTTAGGGTACTTGGCAGAACAGAATCTCTCCTTCTCTGCAAGGGAAGCAGTAGCAGGCTGACAACATATTTGGTATGTGATCCAAATTCACACGACATGTTCAAAGAAAGCAAAAACATCTGAAAAGAAACAAGCCTTACTTGTGGAGGCATTACTGCTGAAAAATAGAAACAAAGCTGGATCTGTACTAGCAACTAATCAGCAAGACCAAAAGGGAAACTCAAACAAAGCTGCGAGGAAAGCTGTGTCAGGGAGGAAATGCTGGCAGTGTGCTGCTCTTAGCTGGGCAGTGCAGGTTGTGTTTCCCTTATATACAAGGCAAGGTTCAGAGGCTACAATCGACTCCTGCTGTGAAGGTTAGAAGTTCTCATCTCAAATAGCAAGCTGGCAGTCCCCAGCATCTAGAGGCACACTGTCACTCCAAGGAAGAACCGCACACTCCCATTTGCGGCTGAACTGCCATAACCACTATGTTTAACATCACCTTAGTTTCACTGAAAAAAATGAATTCAGATAAAATGGGCAGAGCTCTACTACAGCAGGACTCATGGAACAGGCTGTGTTACTGCTTTCAAGAAACTGAAAAAGAAAAAAGTATAGCAAAAAAAGTTTTCACTCCAAATGCTCTGGAATACATTTGACCTGACCCTCCAGCATGAATGGCCGTTACAGCCACTTAATTTCCGTGTTCAGATGATACCCTTCCATCTTTTTTCTTTAAACTGGAATTCAGTTGAAATTACAGTGATGAGACAATGTCTGAAAAAAAGGCATCTGTGTTAAATTCCAGTAAAGAAGTCAGAGACGCAATCACTTCTGTGCAGCCCCAAATTAGGCAAAACAGATCCTTAAGAATATCAAGATGCTGACTGTATGATAATGTGTTCTGACAAATTGTCATCTTCTCCCGATGAGCAAATTTCTGCTTTTAAATATCAACTTGTAATTTTGCCAGCAGCCTTTGTAATTAATGAATTTAGAAAGCTGCATGATAATGTACTTCATCAGCTCCACTCAAGAGCTCAATCTTCAATGCTGACTGAGCTCTCCCTTTCCAGAGGAGAGTAAGATCAGGGAATCCACTCACCTGAATGCACACTAAAAGCACGGAGTGACCTACACAGTCCTACCTACCTATAAAATCAAGTACTAGCTCTGATAAAGCATTCCTCCCAACCCTATTTTCCTAAGTACAGTACAATCATCCATTATCAAAGAATAACATCCCCTTTATACCTGAGCCCACTTTTTGTTTCTACTTTGCATCTGAATGGCAGCAATAGATGTGAAGAATTCTTCTGAAGGCAAGTCCTCTGGTAGCTTTGTTAAAAACTGGGCTATATGAATGAAGTCCATTTTGGTCAAAATATCTTCAAAAAGTTTCAATATTCCCAGTGCTGTACGGAATAAGAACTCTTCTCCATCACGGCAGAACACATCCCAGACACGACATGCCAGGTCTAGTGGCAAAGATTTGCTGTACAATGTGAATATCCTGAAAAAAAGAACAAAATTTTCAGTGCTGCTGGACAAGAAGAATATCTTGGACACTTGCAGAAACACACAGACCCACCATCACTTTGAGGCTTCTCAAATATTTGTACCTGAATATTCCTTTTTTCTTAATTGCAAAATTACTTCTATTAGTTGCAGCATACCAATATATGAAACAATATAACAACCATTAAGGCTTCTTGCTATCAATTTGAGTCTCCAAGTTCAATTCTCTTGGATCACACCAGAAGAAACAATCATTATACATGGGTTTATGATGGACATGCACAAGCCACAGGCATTATCTAACTATGCCTTCAGAGCTGAGGACTAATGCAGTTTTAGCTGTGAGAAAACAAAAAGCTGAACCTAAAGACATACTGCAAAGGGAAATTTGTGCATCAGATTAAAGAGATGTGTAAATATAACTCCTGTTCCAGGCTTGCTTGACTGGCAAAGTAATGATCACATGAGTTTTGGAGGAAAGATCAGTGTAAACTCTAGTGAGTTGAGAGAAACACACAACATCCAGAGAAAATGTGTAGACAGCTGTGACAAGATGCTGGCTCAGCGTGCTTCAACGGATGGGATCCCCAAAGGGAAAAGGTAACAGCAGAAGCGAGAACCTCCTCCCTGTTGCTAAAACTGTATTTCCATTAACTGCCAAGAGCACATGTCTTCCTTCATCAAAATACTGACAGCCTTGGAGCCAAGAACCCAAAGATGCTCTCCATTCCCTCTTCTCACCTACATTTCACTACAGGCACAGCAGTTTTCTTTGCTACCAACAATGTCATTACAGGAAGTGAAGAGAATTAAGTTATAGTATATAAGGGAAAATAGTTACATTGGGGTTTAGAACCTTTCTCCACAGAGGCACTGAATGATCTCCATAAGCTGCAAACAATTCTTTCTCCGGCAGAGGTCAGCAAAACCTCAAACTGAAACAAAACCTTTCCACCTTTTAACACAAAATCCATTGTCAAGTATGCCGAATTGAACAGTAGCTCTCTTGTGTTTAAGACTCAAACCTAGGATCCCCAGTTTCTTATTTAGGAAATTCGGGTTTACATTAAATAATACAATGGAACAGATTACACACACACACACACTTGTGTATATATATTTAAGTATCAAACATGAATGAATGTATTTTCACAGCAAATTCTAATAATCAAAAGGTTTTCTGTAGTTTCAGCTTTTTACTATATGAGGTTATCAAGGCTTCCCTGTCAATCAGGACACTTCAGGAAAATGTGAAATGTATTCATTTTACAAGTACCAACACGGAACCAAGTCATTCACACAAATTCAGGTACAAGTAAAACTGCAGGTTTAGGATCCTCAGGGTTTTACTTTTTCCTCTATTGTTACATCTTACTGCAATGCTTTCTATAAGAAGTGGAAATTGTTTAAATTCTGTTCTCCAAAAAGCTAAATTAGAAGTATAAAAATAAGTAAAGCAGAGGTGGAGCCTGGATAAAAACCCCACTATTGTTCAATGTATGTATTATACATGGATGTATAAGAACAGCACAAAATAAGGCCTTTCTTTGGGTTACTGACTCATCACATGTTGGAGACTTTGCCTACTCTTTCAACATTTATATGGTGTGTGGCTGTACAGAAAACACATCTTGCTACAGAATACCCACATAGCAGAACTCAGACTGTCTATACACACACACACATGCACAGGAAGCAGCAACAGCTTTTCCATTTAAAAAGAACACTGTAATAGGAAGCAATTCAACTGAGTCCTTTCCTGATCACCAAATAGCAGGCAAACCCTCAGCCAGGAACAAGTCCTGGTATAGATAAGTAACAATGGCTGCTTTTTTTGGGTCTGGTTTTATTCACAAAAGCTATTATTCTGCATTATTCAGACCTAACCTAAACAGCCCATGTGTATTACATCTGCAACTGTGCAGAAAATTAACTGTCAGAAGACATAGTCAGAACTATTTATTAGAACACTACTTATTGTAAGAAAAGATTTACTCATCAAAAAAGCTGCCACATCAAATAAGGTTGTCGACATTGATCTCTTCACAATTTGGAAGGAAGTGCAATTTGCAGGAAATTCGCAAGGCAATTCATTTCCATTAACACCAGCATGGAAATGTATCAAGCCCTGAGAATGGAGATTGGGCCCCCTAGAATAAGCACTGAAACAACTGTAGGAATGATTACAGCAAAGAACAGATAGCAGCATTTGCTCCCTTCCAGCATTTCCTATTGAAAAACATTTTCTATTAGACATCTGAGCTACTGATGTGAAACCCAGCTGAAATTCATTATAGCAATAAAGCACCTGCTGGACTAACACAGCTATAGCAGCTCTCAGCAGCACAAGTACACTACTCGCATGTGATCTGCTCACACTGTACTGTGGGATGATTTTCTGTCTGCAGCTCTCTTACAACTCACTGTGAGTCCCAGGTGCAGACAGCACAGCTAATCACAGAGATGTCCACTGCCAGAGTAATGAAAATGCAGGCTACTAGCTGCTTTCTGTTTGGAAGAGGGAAAAAAAATAAATGAAGTGCCAGATGCTCCTGTTCATCCCAGCCCCGCTTATGATGGAAGTGTACTTTGAGGCAGATGCATGAAATCCTGGCTGGTTTGCTACTCGCAGGGAAAGTGTATGATCATAATGTTACATGAAAGCAAAGCACCTAACCACAGGCCCTGTGTTTTCTTTCCTTTGTTCCTTTTTTCTTTTCTTTTTTATCCTCTTTCATTTTTTAATTAAAAGTCTTCATAAGATGTGTTAGCAACAGTGATGATGACCACAGCAATGCCAGACTTTGGTTTGACAAGTCATGCTGCAAATCTGATGTTACATATTCTTTTCCCATGTCTGTGACAGTACAAAAATACTTCTGCAACTTCTGAATTGTGGGAACTGATGAATTAACTCAGGACCTTTTGGATCCTCCCTCCTTCATCCTGGTATGAATTTTTTGTTACATTTTTAACGATGTCAACTACATCTGTTTTGAGACAATGACTGCACCTTTCTATGTGTTCATGCTTTACTTTATTGTAGAGTGGCATCTCTGTTCTCATTAGCACCTTCAGGGTTATTGCAATGGACTTGTTGGTAACAGTTTATTTAGTACAGTTTTAGAATCATTACAGTTGAAAAGAAAAAGTGGAAGCATTTACTTAGTTCCTTATTAGGAAAATTAAGTACTATATACTACAGAATACTGATTGCAACAGAGCAACTTGGCACTCAGAAAATCTGACTGCGTTGTAAAATGTATCAATGTAAGACAGTGTATGAGCTTCTGAGCAATTTCCAATTTCTGAGCACCCAAAAGCCCTGCTCTCTCACCCAGCACTACTACACGGCAGTGCAATATTTCACTTGGTTCCACCCTAACCTGCAGTGAGATAAGGATGAGCACATTGTAAATTGGGCTAAAGTCCACAACAACTCCAGTCAAAAAATCAGGATGTCATCAGAAACCTCTGGACAGAATTACAGTCCAGTTTGGCTTTGAAAAGGAGGCATGCATTTAAAACATCTTAAACTTCTTTTTTTGGGGGGGTGGAGAGTTACTGGCATGACATGGACTATGTTTCTCTTGATTTAACAGAGAGCAAGCTTCTGAGTATTTCACTGTAAGTGCCTACTACAAACATCCACACAGCATGGCTTGGACCTTTATCATAACAAGTAAATGGTGCCAAAAGAAAGTTAATATTCATGGAGCACAATCACAGTCAATGTAATACTAAAGAACCACTGATCAATCCATCAGTACAAACAAAGCTCCTGGCTATAATTATTGCCTAAATCATTTTTCTGAGTAGGGATAAAGAGGTGTTTGTATAGCAGCAGCAGGCCAAAAATAGACAGCATGTGGCCTTTGCAATGCCACATTCTGCTCTGCTCACAAGAGCTACCTCAGCTGACAAAGCCATGAGGCCAAAACTGGGCTATTCAGACACACCATTTCCCCTCTATTCTCTGTGAACCTGACTGTACATTGCTCTTCACATCTTTCTCACACTTGATTCCCTTTATATTCTCCAGAAAAAGCAACCTGTGTAGCTTCTGAATTTATTCTGTGAGATTTATCAATTGGAATTTGGGCTTGAAGGACATGGGTCTTTCTAAAGGAGATACCTTATGTCTGGCAGGCACCCACTGATGATCATGCCACTCACCTTTTAATTGAATTCTTAAGTCCTAGGCATATTCCCATCACAGAAGCAGTGGTGGAGCAGAACTGATGGGGGCTCTTCCCTCCCTACATCCTGTGCCAGCCCCAAGAAACCTCAAAGCAGCACTGCATCACCTGCATAGCTGGGCCTATCTGTATGCACAGCATTTCTTTTTCCTGGCACGTATCTCTTCACAAATGATTTAAGCATTCCGATTTTACTGCTGTTCCCTGCGGCACTGCTTACAGGAAGCAGCACAAAGGAGCCTAGTTGATGCCACTGGAATTGCTGCAGGAGCAGGAGGGTTTCCCGGCAACTGGTCTGTGCAGCACTGGCTACTGGAGCCCTCCCAGAGCTGGCACCAGCTGAGTTTTACTGCACACATGCTTGCACAGTAACCATGCCAGCCACCGGGATAGCAGCAGGCATCCCTTTGGAGTGCAGAATAAATGAGCATTTAAATAAAAGTAATGTTAGAGCAAAGCTGTTTCAGAGAGATTTTTACCTACAACCAAAAGGTCTGTCTGTTCAGAGAGACTCTGTACTATGTTCTTCCCCGACTTTAAACATGCTGAAACCATGTTCTTATCTTTCAGGAAGCAGCTCTGTTTTTAAGACAGCAGTATCTGTACTACAGCAAATTCACTGTCAGCCATGAGCCACAGGCATCCTTGGAAGCAACATTTTCCAAAGTCCTTAGCTTTAATGACTACTCACTTTCCAGACCCACATGATTTTTCCTTCCATCTTTTCTATGTTACAACCTGGAAGTAATGGAGGGACAGCACATATAAAGTGCAATTTGCTAAGTTTCCAGTGGCTGTTAAAATGAAAATAAACCTGCTTCCTACAGGAACAAAGTATTTTAAAGTAGAAAGTACACACATATATATATATATATATATATATATAAAAAATGCATATATAAAGTATATACACACACATACACATACATATTTAAATATGATAAATCTTACACAGTTAAATACCAACTCTACTGTCTAACAAAATTAAAGAGAGTGGGACAAGCTGTCTAACTCAAGAAGTGTTGAAAAGTTGAATATAGGATTGGGCAGGACTACCTCAGCTAGCCTACATTCCTGTGCATATTCTAGTGTGGTGGCTCTCTAGGTATGAGGAAGAACGCAGTAAATTGTCCTTGGGATTAAAATAAACAGCTTTAGTACAGATGTGGGTACTCAGTGAGAAATGCTGAGGGTTGTCAGTCCAGCAGTACAAAGTCCTTGAGAAGCTCCATCCACAACCACTTCTGACAGAAGTTTCCTTCAAGTGCTCTTGACAATACCCAAGAAGGAACAAAAGGGGGGCCTGATGTGCCCCCCACACTGACTTGAACACTTCAGTGCTTTGCTCGTAAGTCAGGTATTGTCCTCCTTTTTTTCTGTAACCTACAAATGTGCTCAAAGAGAACAACTGGTCACATAGAAAATACAATACAAGAATATACAATAAAGACCAGAATAGCGAAGCAAAATTGCTAAGGGGAATGTAAACCTCCAACCTTTTGTCAAAACAGTCTTTTTCTAAACCTCTCATTTCTGGTGTTGTTCCTCAGGATTTCTTCTTTACCATGTAAGCTCCAAGTTAGACAACAAAGTGGTATTACCGTGCCAGCACTATGAAGACACTCAGTTTTAGTCTCTCTTACATAAAAAAAAGCCACATCAGTTGCACCAGCATCATATTAAACTAGTAACCATTAAAAAGATTATAACATGCTGATTTTAATGTTGTCTATTCAGTTATTCTCCAGCACGTTTACAGTCTTCCAATTCTGATATCCCTTTTATTCAACTGCTTCCTCCACATACAGGCTTTTCACAGCACTGTCTGAGGCAATGCAATTTCAACATCTTTCCTCTTATCATTGAGCATACCATCCCCTGCTCTCTTCCTTCCCTTCTATCCTATTCCAGTATTTTTTCTAGCATCTTCCTGCTCTGGGCATAGATCTAATTCAGTTTACTATTCTCAACCTTCAGTCATAAAAATCCTTCTAATGCTTTTTCTCCCATCAAATACTGTGAGAAATGAGCCTATCCATGACACACCCCTTCATTCCCCTACCCATCTTGCATTAAAATTTAATCACAGTGTAAAAGCCAAGTCAAACACAGCCCAAGTTACACTACCCTCTGTGTAAGAGTCATACAAAAACCAAGGAACTCAAGCAAAGGCAGCAGGCCTGTTTAGATGAACAAGAACCTCCTGACAAAACTCAAACAGAAAAAGGAGGCATACAAGATGCTGAAGGAGGGGCAGATGACCCTGAAAAATGCAGAGACATTGAGCATGCAGAGAAGGGGCTAGGAAATCCAAAGCCTATCTGGAGTTGAACTTGGCAATGGACATTAAGGTCAATGAGAAAGGCTTTCCCTATATCAGCAGAAAAAAAAAGACTCGGGAAAATATGAGCCCATTATTGAATACAGCAAGAAACCTGGTGACAAAGCACAAGCAGAACTGCCTTCTTCACCTCAGCCTTTACTGAAAAGGCTTGCCTTCAGGAATCCCTGGACCTCCAGGTAAGTGGCAAAACCTAGCACAAGGAAGCCCTACCCCTAGGTGGAAGAGAAGCACTTTAAGGTACATTTAAACAGACTGGGCACATACAAGTGCATGGGAAGTGGTAAGATACACGAGTGCCAAGGACACTGTCTGCTGTCATTGTGAAGCCACTCTCAATTATCTTTGAAAGATCCCAGTGATCAGGGGAGGTTCCTGAGGACTTGGAAGAAAATTAATGTCATTCCTGTCTTCAAGAAGTAGGATTCAGGTAACTACAGGCTGGTCAGCCTCACCTCCATCCCCAAAAGTAACAGAAAAAAATTCCTGGATATCATTTCAAAACATATGATGGCCAAAAAAAGTTACTGGGAGAAGTCCACATGGATTTATGAAAGCAAAATCATACCGGACCAACCTGACAGCCTTCTACAATAGGAGATGACTGGCTTGGCGGATAAGAGGACACCAATGGATGTCTATTTCAACATCAGCAAGGTTTTCAACACTGTATCCCAAAAATCCTTGCTGATGAAATGATGAAGAATGGACTAGATAAATGGACAGTGAGGTAGACTGAAAAGTGGCTGGAATTGCCAGGCTCAGAAGATTGTCATTAGTGGCATTAAGTACAGCTTCAAGCCAACCCACTGGCAAAATACTCCAGGGTTGATACTCATCCAATCTTTCAAATGCCTTCATTAAGGCCCTAGATGACGGATCAGACTGTACCTCAGTGAGTTTGCAGGTGATATAAAACTGGGAGGAGTGGCTGATACACCATTCCATAGGGACCCTGAGACACTGGAGAAATGAACCAACATGAGTCCCATGAAGTTCAACAGAGGGAAACGCCAAGTCCTGCATCTGGGCAGGAAATCAGGCCAGGCAGCAGTACATGCGGGAAGCCAACAGACTGCAATGCAGCAGCTTTGCAGTAAACGACATGGAGGTCCTGGTGGACAAGTTAAACGGAAGCCAGAAATGTGCTTTTGCAGCAAAGAACGTCCACAAAATCTCGGGCTGCATTAGGAACAGTACTGCCAGCAGGCCAAGGTAGGTCATCCATCTACTCAGCACTGGTGAACCAGCTCTGGGCTTCCCGATTAGGACAGACAGATACACTGAGGAAAGTCCAGCTTGCCATGAGTATGATTAAAGGCTTGGAGCACCTGGTACATAGTGAAAACTGGTGCTATTTAAGCCAGCAAAGAGATGGCTCAGACCTCAATGCGTAAAAACACTTGGCAGGAAGACAGCGACAGACTCTTCTTGCATCCTGTGAAAGGACAAAAACCAGTGGGCACAAACTGAAACACACAAAATGCCATTTAAATGTAAGAAAATAAAAAGCTTGTTCACTGTGAGGATGGTCGAACACTGGAACAGAGTTGCCTGGAGAAGTTGTGGAATCTCCTTCCTTGGACATACTCAAACCCCATGTGGACTAAGTCCTGAGCAACCAGCTCTAGTTGACCCTGCTTTGAGCAGTGGGTTTAGACTACATGATCTAGAGTTTGTGTCCAATGCCCCATCAATTCCATGACCCTATGAAATTTCACATATTCAAACTTCAAGCTTGAACTGGACTCAATTACATTAAATTGATTTGTCTAATGGAGCAACAACATGTTCAGTGCCAACAACAAGGTCTTAAAAATCAGGGTATCGAGAGCTTAGTTCAAATAGAATTGCATTAACAGTACAAATGTTCTCCAAAGTAATACCACATGAATCGCACAAAAAAACCACTGCTACTACTGGGAATTTAATCTCTCGCTGAAGGTATTCAGTCAGATATCCGAGATCAGCAGAAGCTGTCAACAACTTAAGGGCAAACCAAGTTTCCACAAAAGAAGATTACATATCCTCCCACACCAGTCATGCTTGGTGACAAGAGACTTTTTAGCTGCCCCAAACCAGTCTGATAGGCACAAATGCAAACACTTAATTTGGAGTTCCTTATACCACACTGAAATTTGGAAGGAGTACAAATAAGATCGTCTTTTCTTCTCTCCCAGGAAAAAGGTTCTAATTACACTGGAACTAAAAGGGAAGGCAGCTTCACAAAATAAAAAGATTGTAATTGCCTGTTTGCTAAGGGGAATAGCTGCAGTAATTAAAAACATGCCCTTTAGCAATTCAATTGGGCTATGTCAATCAAAATCAGTTTTCAGACAACCTGTACTGGGATCCTCTAAACGGGATCTGGGACCACCTAACATGAGTAAGATACAGCCTAAGAGTCATAGTTCATCCTGCCAAAAGCCAAGGTGTTCGCTATTCTATAGCTTCTAGCTTTTTGTTGCATGGACAAATGTGTTTACTCCTCTCTTCCTGTTCTGTGCAGGCAGACAAGCTATGCATTTTAAATGCCAGACTAGCAGTATTTTCTGGATATATATCCCTGGGACACACCTGCACATGGCGTAGACAAACTAACAGATTTTCTCAGAAGATCAATCCAAATATGCACTAAATATGGCTAAACATTGCTATACAGCTGTATCTCAAAACAGGCTTTAAACTCAACACAAGTACAACAAAAAAGGTTAGGCAAACATCAAACATCACAGGTGTATGTGGTAATGATTTGGATTGACAACTCAAGTACTGAACAAAAGCTAAAGTCTTTAACTTAAAAGAAGACTAAGCTAAGTAAGAGCACTCTGGCTTCTGTCATGAACACTGACACAGAGCTGTATGGTAGCATGCACATTAGCAATTCCATTTTCAAAGCCTTACCAATCAATCAGATAGATGTCTGGAGTCAAGTTATTTTTTTTGAAGTGAGCAAATAACTTTGGCAGATTTTCTTCAAAGAATACCTCAAATGCGGCAAAGTAAGTCAACATCTGGGAAACAGAATGGGGAGAAAAACAAACAGCTTTATTATTAATAGGCTTAAATGTATTATCTGTTGTTCAATTAATGACCTACAAAAATAGGATCCTATGAATTCCATAATACCATAAAGAGCTAAACATTTACATAAAGAACAGCATCTGCAAGCACAAAGAGTTTAAGATTCACTCTCTATACCGTTCTCATACTAAACAATATAATTATTGGTTTGGGTCTTAGCCAGCTTCCTTTGGAAAGAAAAACACCAGCAGGAGAGCAGTTATTTGCTGATTTCTCAGAATAATTATAACAGAATGGTGCTTTATGCCTGTGGCAGTAATTTAATATTATACTGAATGAAATCCAAGGCCCAACGGGTTATAAAATGAAATATGAAACTAAAACATTTTAATAGTCCACAGCAAGACTGAAAAGTCCAGTTGGCTCCAGTCGAAATACCAAAGATTCTTTTATACAGTACATTTAAAAATTAGGTAATCACAGAATCATAGAACCAGACATTTCCATTGCAAAGAAGAAGAGCTGAAGTTCACGCCAAGGAGGAGAGACAAAGTTCGCACAGAAAAGCTAAAGATCAGGACAAAACACCTATGCAAGAGAAACAGACTGTTAACTCCCATCTGATACCATAACCCCTAAGCTGTACTATTTTTAACACTAAGACTTTCATGTTAATTTAAAATTTGAGTATTATGTTAGATTTCATAAGAGAGGGCATGGAAAATCTTCTAATCCAACCAAGAGCTAAAAACAAAAGGCTTTTTAGCTCCCTCACCCCTCTTCTTAATACTATAGAGAGAAAAGTTAAGCAAGGTCCTTGAATGATTCAGTGATTTTAATCACAATATCCCAGTGAAAGCAACAAAGAATGGCTGTGATTCTTCTTCTTGAGTTGTACCAGCATGCTTCTCCCCAGAACACCATGACAGTGAAAGGAAAACAGAAGCTTTCAGGAGCCTTTTGTCTGAAATCCTTTGAAAGGATGACAGATAGTCTCCCAGCATTTTAATGTCCTTACAGATTTGTTTCCCATTTCACGTAAATGAAGTGGCAGATGGTGGAAGACCTTCACTCACAGTGGCAAATAAAAAATTAAGCCTGGTAGTCAGCATGTGTTGAAAGCTTAAAAGCCAACCAGAGATGGTTGCAATGCTACAGGAATTACCATACAGAGTTATGCAAAACCTCTGAACTATCAGGTACTGAGAAACAGCTTCATGGCAAACATGACACCAGAGATCTAGAAACCCACTTTTACAGAACTGTACAACTGAAATAGCTTCCCAACATGAATCTTTAAATGCATGAAGTCCGAGCATCACATGACACCTGTGAGTGTACAGAAAGAAGGGGGTAATGCAATGGAGAGTTCCAAAGCGATCTCCTTACATGCTAGCACCACAGTAAGAGTTCTACCAAAGCATTACAGAAGCGCTCTAGAGAAGGGATCTTAAACATGACTGCTATAATCACATCTATTGACAGCAATGCAGGTAGCTCTATTAGAAATGCAGCAGCAGGTCAGGTATTGATCAAATCAACATTCAACAAGACATTCATTTAGCCGTAATTAAAAAAAATAATCTAGTTTAATGAAACTGTACCCAACAAAAGAAGATAAATCAGTATAAATTACTATCAGCTCCACAACTAACTTATCTGGTCTTAGTTTTTCAATTAGATCTTAAGACAAATGAGCACAAAACAATGGGGGTAGACAGCAGATCAGTACATTAACCCCAGGAAGCCAAAACTGTCTCACTCTGTGTCACTACTCTCTCTGAAATATTAGGTACAAAGTTTTCCTTGCAGTGTTAATCACTGCTTTGTAATTTCACAGTATGTTAATATCATTTCATGTCTACTCTATCTCTACTCTCCTGTAAGCATCCATTTACCATATAGCCTCTATTTAGCCAGGCTAATAGAACCTAAACGTCACTATCCAAGAGCATATCAAACCCCAGTATATTAACTAAAAAAACAAACCAAACCCAAACCCCCACATAAATCTTATTCTAACAAATTTAATTCCAAAATAAGCTTCACAAGAACCATCTTTACACACTGAACACCTAAACATGTCTTTTTGCCAAGTACAGTAATGGAGATCACCAACACTTCTAGCAATGAAGACTGTGCTGTGGTACATCTCCCCATGGGCAACTGATGAGATTCAGGGGCTACAACAGGGAATGCCATACTGCTTTTCCAGCAGGCAGTACTGATAGGATCCCTAGTGTCTTACTGTTTGAGTAACAAAATAGATTGTTGTTGATATCCATTCCCTTTCTTTATTCTTCCCATTTGAAGTCCTGAGAAGCAGATCCTATTTTCAGTGTTAAAACATGAATAACTGGGAAAAACAATGCCATATACTTTACAAAAGCACGCTTCAAAAATAAATTCAAAACAGATTTCAGCAGGTATATCTTATTTTGCTAGGGTATACAGGTAGCCCAGTCTACCTGCTAGTGAGGTACTTTAGAGACTACAGAAAGAAGCAGCTGCCACTGAATATCAGAGGGTTCTGCCCATCCTATTCGCCCAGACTCCTCTTCAAACGCAGCTGCTACAATAAGAGATGGGAAACCTGGTTCTCCCTGCAGCAGTCTATTTTTAGCAAGCTATTAGTTAGGATAAAAGCACCTTCCAGGCACTTCGAATATTAAGGTGTTTCCAGCTTTCAACTACAGTGCTCAATTTGAAAAACACCTATAATAATGTTCTCATCACTATTCTCTGAGGATCATAAAATACCAGCTGAACAATTTCATTCACCTGCCTATTCAAAAAGGTTAGTGGGGTGGGTTTTGGTTTGGGTTTTTTGAGGGGGTGAAGTGTGTATTGTTGGGCTTTTTGTTTATCAAGCTTTAAAACAAATCCTGATTTCTCCAAGATACTGAGCCCATAGGTTTTTACTTCTTAAGCTCTCCCTATACCTACCCACAGCATGTCGAGAACAGTTTTCTTGCATACTTACAAGGCCATGGTCCACACGGAAAAACGCCATCTGACAGGGTTTATTCAGAAGGTTAGAAAAAGCAATGAAGGCATCTGCAGTATCCAAGTTCAAGATCAATACTGCTGCTATGAACGACATGCCCTGTACCTAAGGAAAGGAGAAGTGTTACCATTAAGCAATAACTGTATTCTTCCAAGAATGCTGCCTCATTTAGTCCTTGTAATCACTACTGTTTAATGCACTCTTGTTGCTGCTTAAGTCTGTGAAACGTTCAGAAAGTAAGGATTTTTTAACCCACTTGACCCTTTGGTATTGCATTTCAGAGCATGAAAGTCAACAGTCCCCACACTGCCTCCTCTCAAGGAGTAAAGACACCTCTAAGTAAAAGTCCTAGGGCAGGCTAGGCTGACAGCACTTTCAAAGATGCAGAATGAAGATGTTTCTGAAGAATAAGCTGTTCATAAGTAACGCCTCCCAAGGACAGGTCATAGATGCCCTTATTTGTGGAAAGCTGGCCTAGGACACCACAGACAAAGCCTGCTCTTTTCTTTTTCAATCAATTACCAGCAGTTACAGACAACTGCAATGACTCATTTTGACAAGCAGTACCATTTTAAGATTAAACTCTTGTTCCATTTATAATAAACTCATAATGTTGTTGCATTTTTCTACAGCGTATGCTGTGGAATCAATGCTGAATCCAAGCCAAGCTTGCTCACTCAGAGGCTGCAGTGTCTGTATGGCTCTGCGGTGGCAGCAAAGGTGTGACAGTCTTGTCCTGCAAACCTGAGGAACAAGCTCCTTCTCAACACAACAGGTTCCATGCCATATGAAGCACACCACCTGATGCGGTCTTCTCTGAGCTTCCCTGCAGTTATGTTCAGCAGCTTTATCCCAAGCATCACATGCTACTCTCAGATGTACATCTACCATCTCAAAAACAACTGTTCCCAAATAAAGAATAAGCTCATATATATACATAAGTTTGTATGAGAGATATATAGAGAGCTATATATACATATATACATCCCTGCCCTAGAAAAAAAGACTAAATGACTTATCTCAAATCTACTCAGTCCTCTCATAATCACTACTTCAAATGCTTTAAGGAAGCTCACATGGCCTTCATGGGCAGCATTGCTTTGAAGACTGTCCCAGAAGCTCACAGTGCTAAGACACAGAAATACGTGCCAAAAGGAGTAAAATGTACTCAACAGAAGTGTCTCAGTAAGACTGCCATTAGGCACAGTACGTACTTCAAAGGACCAAGTTAACTACACCTTCTCTTTTGACTCCTAAGTATGTACTTTTGAATACAAATATGTACTTTTGAGTTTTCCAATTACTTAAACTGTTAAGTTTAAAACTAGCAACAGAACTGTTATATACACTTCTCAAGCATGTACTGGAATAGAAGAAAGCACAAAGAAACCCCACAAGTTTTCACAAAATCATGTAATACTAGTCTACAAAGGATTAAGTAACACAACCCTCCCTTCCCCAGTTCTCCCTCCCCACCCCTGAAAAAAAATGAATTTGTCACTTACGTAGCCTACATCAGGTCTGTAACAAGTATAGGCTCCTAAAATACTGTGCAACGTGTCATGGTAAGGACCACCCTATAATTAAACAAAAACAAAACAACAGATTTGAGTATACAACAAACGTATCAAAAACTCTTCAGTGCTACAGATATCATGTACTTACTACCTATATTCTTTCCCTATGCAGCTTTAAACAGTCCCAGGTCTTTCAAACTAATGTTGGCTTTAAAAGCATGACACAGCCCTCCATACCACAGTTATTACAAATGCATACAGTTCATCTGATAGATCAATTATATATTAAGTGGTAAATGCTCCATCCCTGGTAGTGTCTAAAGCCTTGGGCGACAGAGCCTTGGGCGACGTGGTCTAGTGTGAGGGGTCCCTGCCTATGGCAGGAAGGCTGGAACTGGATAAAGTCCTTTCCAACCCAAACCATTCTATGATTCTATAATATTAAAACCTCATACAAGAGGAATACAAGCCTAAGAGATTTCTTACAGTTAGCCGCACTTTGACAATAATGCCAAGAAAGCAGAATGCTAATAAAAAACTAACTTGTCTATTAGAGTAGAGACAGAAATCAACCATGAAGAAAACAAACAGCAATATGCCATAACATACAATCAGCATATCAAGAATGACATGTATAGTTAAAAATGCTCACATTGTTGACTATTAACAGCTGCCATATCTTATACTGAGTACTGTAACTGGCTGAGAATGTCAAAAGTTTTTCACCCCAAAAATGTTGATTTATCACAGTCTAAACTTTTCACAACAGCACTGCTGAAATCTGTGTATAGAAGGACAGAACACCTGGTTAAAATGAGTCTTTAAAGCACACCAAAACCACACAAATTATATTGGCCTTGCATCAAACCAAAAAGGGCCACCAAATCTTGCTTGCTTAATCTGTGCTCTCGCTCACTGGGTATTTGCAACCCAGCAGCATTGATTCACTGACTTGAAAAGTCACCTGTAGACAGAAGCCAACATACGCTGAGCTAAATCAGTAAGTGATTAGCCAACATTAGTTTTTTGCCTCTTTCAAATAGAATCATAGAATCAAATGTGCAGTACCTCAAGGTTACTCTTTCCTAGATTATAGTTTTCCAAAAATCCTCAGGAATTTTTTCCTCTCAAGATACTTCAGATTTGAACTGTATGGGCTGTTTCAGTCAAGGGATGGGCAAGCCCATCTAAACTGAATTTAGCTGAGAAGTGAACACAGAAGTTAACATGGCTTACTTGCTGAAATATACAGAGATTAGGAAACGTCCTTGAGATATCCAGTTTTATTAACTCCAAGCTTGCTTCTCTGTCAGCTGCAGAAAATCCAGTATCTACAGAAGCCAAAAGTTATGCACTTATTACATGGATCAGTGTATGCTCTTTTTTCCCCCCTGCCCCCAGTAAGGGTTTGCTTTGCTCATTTATTTCAATGTGAATGCTAGGAAGTAAGGGCATAGACAGGGTAATTCCCTGAATAGGGCACACAGGCTGAGAAGCAAGTATATCTTGACTCAGAGCAACCCTACAGTGCACATTGACCCTCAGTGTTTTGAAGAGCTGGGGGGAAGGTGCAGGGAAAGGCAGGCCAGGCACTTACTGGCATCTGCTGACAAATCACTAGACAGACACAAGCCTGTTAATCTGTGACCCCTCACCCTCAACAAGGCTTCCCCACAGCTCCTGAAGTAGCTGTCTCTGTGGAAAGGCTGTGGTGGGAGAGAGAAGCCCTAAAGCAGCAGTATTTCGTGGATGACACCTATCTAATGCTGTCACGTCTCCTTCCAAAATAATGTTCATTTACTCCTTGCATGCATGGACACTGCAGTGCACTCTCCATAACTGAAATGGATCTCATGCAAAGTAAGTTTCTAAAGTATTAGTGTTATTTCTGATACCAAAAAGGTCTATTTGTACTATGTCTTTATCTGTACTATGGTTAAGTACAGTTGGGAATTACCTATTGCTACTTACTGCGGAATCAAAACCTAAGAGTTGACACTAGGCAGTACTTACACCAATCACAAGAGCATCTACACTCTAGAAAATAAAGTACATGAGGAAGCTGGAAACAAACTAGACAGTATGTTTCCACAAATACTCATGTTATTTAAGACACAGACAACCTTAAGAGAACAAAGCAGGGGATTTCCAATACAAAATATTTTTCTGTTGATAAATGCCAGTATGTATGTTCTTCTTTTTCAGCTCAGCATACTTACATAGCAAAGGCAATTTCATGCATCTACATGTAGCTTTATACATTCCCAAAATCAGACAACTCTTCCAATCAATTAGTAAATCTCAAACCACTTTGCAAAAAATGAATTGCTGTTCTCTGAAACACACCCAAGAGATGGGCTCAAAGCTGCAAAAAGGGACTAAAATGCAATTTTCTGCTGTAGTTTGAGTTTTGATTCCAAAATTACAGATGCGGCGAAGTATTTAGTGCTGCAATTAAAACTATAATTCCCAAACTTTCCTAGCTTTCCTACAAATTAGCATCAAATCAGAACTGTACCTAGTAATGTTTTATAAAGAAAAATGAACTAGTGTCTTTTATAGAGGGCCACAGTTTCACTGAGAAGAAAGAACCCACCTTGCTCTTGCAAGAATAAGTGTTTTTACTAGACAGCTTTCTAGCTGATTTTTTTTGTTTTGTTTAAAATCTGTGATTTCATTTTAAGGAACAATTGTACAAAATCTCTTATTCTGTACCACACCATAAAATCATTGGTCAAAAGCATACCTTCACCTTCTACTTCAGCCCCTCCTGTGCTAAGCGATCGCCATTTCTCTTTGGCACGAGCCAAGCAAATATCATACAGCTCTGGAAGAAGAAAAACAGAAAACCAAGTCCATGATTTGTACATAGAATCATAGAATAATTAGGGTTAGCAAGGACCTTAAGATCATCTAGTTTCAACCCCCATGCCATGGGCAGGGACACCTCACACTAAACCATGCCACCCAAGGCTCTGTCCAACCTGGCCTTGAACACCACCAGGGATGGAGCATTCACAATTTCCTTGGGCAACCCATTCCAGTGCCTCACCACCCTTACAGTAAAGAATTTCTTCCTTATATCCAATCTAAACTTCCCCTGTTTAAGTTTGAACCCTTTACCCCTTGTCCTGTCACTACAGTCCCTAATGGAGAGAGTCCCTCCCCAGCATCTCTATAGGCCCCCTTCAGATACTGGAAGGCTGCTATGAGATCTCCACGCAGCCTTCTCCTCTCCAGGCTCAACAGCCCCAACTTTCTCAGCCTGTCTGCATACAGGAGGTGCTCCAGTCCCCTGATCATCCTCGTGGCCCTCCTCTGGACTTGTTCCAACAGTTCCATTTCCTTTTTGTGTTGAGGACACCAGAACTGCACACAATACTCCAAGTGAGGTCTCACAAGAGCAGATACGCTCATATCCAGTCAGGTGCCAATTACCTACCATATAAGCAATGCTGCCCCAGCCATTATAAGTTACTAACATAGTAGTTGAACTTTCTAAGCAGGTTACGGTTCCAAACTAACTTATAACTTCAGATTAAGTGAAAAGGAAATGCAACCTAGGCACAAGTTTCCTTTTATGTTGAGGTAATTACTTTTCTTACAGGGCACTGATGTTCAAAATTACAGTCTGAATGGATAACTGGGATAAGTCTACTAAATTCCATGGAAGAACTACACCAAAGGTAACTAAGCCAAGCACAGGAAAGTAGCACAGTGCAGCAGTAGTACAGGCAGTCTGCTGCATTTCCATGTTGGAATTACGTTATGTTAGTCTTTCAGAGCTGTGTTTTTCTGTACTCTGAAATATCACACTAGTTCCATTTTCACAAACACACATGAACAAAAGTACAAATTTTCCCAGGGGTTTTCTAATCTCTCACAAACCCACTGCCCTGCTCTAAATCAAAGGAAGTGTGTTACATGCACACTCACAAGCACTGCAAAATTAATGATTCGAAGTTTCAAAAAGAGAAAAAAAGCTCGAGTCATTAATCCCTCCCATCTCCATCTAACATCAAAGCAAGCCACAATGACAACAATAATCAAAAACAATTCACAGCAGCAGTCCTAGAGCAGCTACAAGATTAAAAGACATGATATTTTTTAACAAAACACATCAAAGCAACTCAAAAAGAGCATAACTAGATAACATCTCACACCCACACCCCAGGTTCTGATACACCAGAACAAATACAGAACTGTCCCTGTACTATTTCTCTTTGTAAGACAACGCAGACAAAACATCAGCCTCACCATGGGTGATGTTTAACTCGTTGCCAATTGCCAGGCTCCAGACTTTGCCTCTCACGCTGGGTGGAATGCCCTGCCACCACAGCTCTCGCACTTTACGGGAACAACACCTGTTTAAAGGAAAACAGATTATTCCAAGACATATTTCATTGCCAGTTGAATTACAAATGTGTCCTCCTACCACTGGTGAAGGCATCCAAACCAAAATGAACATCAACAGGCCAAGAAGTCAAATGTGATTTGCAGACTGCTTTGAACTGTGAAGGAAAGTTCAACTCCTTCCAAGTTAATTGCTTATTTTGACAGATGCGCAGCAATCAAAATACCCAGAATTTGCAACCACACTTGACCAGCAAGAACCACAGGGGTCAAAAATAAGCAAGTGAAAAGGAAATCTGTATCTATGCCACCCCCTAAAAACTGGATATTTCCATGCAAGATTAAATACAGGAACTTATCGAGGTCTACCCTCTCCCCGCTCTGTCCTCACCCTGCTGTGCTAATGAGATGTGCAGCTCCCCACCCAGCTTTGCAGCTCTAGCCCTCCACTAAAATGCATGAAGATACAACAAGTAATAACTTCAGGTGAGAGCATTAAAGCCCTTTTAACAGAACACAGGCTTTGAAATGGCTGCAGCTTATGTTCATCAATCTGAGAGCCCAGAAGGAGGAACAGAATTGCACCTAAACACCAATCAAAGTGCTGTGGAGGTTGGTGTATGTTGCTGTTACACTCAGAGGCTGGGGGGGCTGGTTTTATTAAGATGACTAACAAAGGCCATGCAGCACTACAGACAGGGAAGGTAGCTTACCAATTGCCTGTGTTGTCTCTCTGCAGGAAATCTTTTAGCACTTAAATATTTATTTTTTCAAATAACTCTCTAGCTACTTCTCTTTCCATCACTGATTATCCCAGCAGGTATAGCACTGTATAATTAAAGAGGCTTCATAATAACATACATGTACTTCAATCAACATCTGATACTGTGATATCAACAGCTCAAGTAGCTCATTTCTGATAAATGCATGGTGTTTAAGCATCATGATTCCTACTTCTACATTCCCTACCACAGATCACCTCTTAGCGTTTATACAGGCTTTTTATATCCTAAACCTCCATTAAAGATACACAGTTAAGAATTAGAACTGCATCACTTACAGCCACCTTGTAGAAATAAGGAAATAGAAATTGCTCATTTTCTTTGTTAACTGTCCAAAAGTGACTTTCAAACAAAAGCATCCAAGACCATTTTAAGTAATACTTGCTAATTTTGTAACTTTTCAGGATACAGACTCAGCAATTTTAATTAAAACATAGTATAACATACTGCCTTACATAGTTTCCCAGTTGGGCAAGATTTCATTGTTCCAAGTTAGAACAGCATTGCCAATGCTCTCTTCCAGTTTACAGCGTTCTTCCAGTTGTTTCTTTCTCTTCTGGGCTTCTTTAAGCTCTGCAGAAAAGCAGTAATTCCTTCTTAAGTTATTAAAACCAAAAACCAAATATCCAGAGTTAGCTAGTGACAGCTACAGAGCCATGTACAATCACAGTATATTCACCTAAAAGTACTGTTCAAATTCTAAGCATTTCCCAAACATACAGCAAGCTAAGCAATGATGCCAAATGCGAATAAAGGATAAAGTCAAACTATGCATTAGGCCCATTTTTGAGGGATAGGACAAAGGAATTTAGATAATATATGGCTCCTTAGACCCTTCAAATCTATCCACATTAGTAACTTTGAATTCACATCTCTGACAGCCAACAGAGCACCACCTAGAAGGACAAGTCAGAGTGTTTGCTAATAAAACCCCACCCCTTTTGTTATGGCAGACTCAACAATACAGGCTAAAATAATACAAGTTTTGCATTTTGTTTTCTCTATTACATGTTGTCTTTGTAACTTATGAGTTAGATAACTGTCAGAAAAATCACAAAAGTCCCATTTTTGATGCTACTTAGTGTGTGGTTAGTCTAAATGTCATACACCACTGTAAACCTTCAGTTCCTTAAAAAGAAAGCAGTTTTTCATGTTAGCTTAAACATATTCGACTTTTTTTCATTATCATTCAGTATTTCTTCTTATTGCATCATCAACTACTATTCTTCCCACTGGAAAATGTGTTAGGACATGTGCATGCACACATAAACACAGAGTCTACAGTATCAGAAGGTACTGACCTGACAAGCAAAACTAACTGAAGAACAGCAGTACCATGAACAAGGTCTTTGGAATGAACACATACAACCTGATGGGTCCACATTAGAGGCCAATAGAAGCTGTGCCTAAGCAGAACCGTACCAACTTCCTCGCAGTATTTGCTTTGATAGGAGCATATCGTAAGGCTGCCTAAGCGCAGGCTTTGATTTTTTCTCTAAACAAAAAGAGGGTGTTTACACTCTTGATTTCCTGACCTCCACACAATATATAACTCTGCAAAGCTGTTCATCTGGATTGGCTTTGGGGAAAACAGGTTTGTCAGGGTGTTTATCTGGACAGAATGACATACTCCAGTCCAGTGAAGACAGCTCAAGGATATGGCGCATTGCCTAACCTGAGCATCATCCCATTTCTTTCAATCCATCTATCCTTTGTACAAAGAAAACAGATAGAACTCCTCTGGATTACTACATGTTAAATGGATATATTAACATGGGAGTCACATGACCTTCACTGGTAGGTGTATCACGTTCAAAACCACAAAAGGATATTTTCATTAATATGTCAACTGCAGAAAGTAAGTAAATCCTGTGTTCATATCACCTTTCCACAGTTTCTTTTGGCTCAGGACTTCTCAACATTTCCAGTAGTTCTCACTGGACACAACTTCTGTGAATCTGTATTCCCTACTATTGCAATGCTTGTTTTTAATTAGAAAACCCAGGTGGTCAAAAATATCAGCAGAAGGAAGCCACTGCTGTCACCTCTACCTGATGTGCACGGTACAATGTCACTGAGACACTTCTGTGAACAATGTCAGACAAGAAATTATGAGGAAAAAACTTGGGAAAGCCATAAATCTGAGGTGGGAGACTCAATTATCAAATTAACATGACTAGGTACATTTTCCCACATGGAAAATTATGTATTTATATACTACAGCCTGAAGAAGTTGATCCCAACATGAAACTATCAAGTAACCTGCAGTTATCCAAGTAATTCTAATCTTCACTAATTTGACTGATGAGCTACTTCAATATATTTGTAAGTGTTTAAACCCACAAACAAATGCCACTCATTTATTCTGCTGGAGTCTAGGACTGTTTTTCAGCTTGGGGTGGGCCTTTTTAGTAAAACTACCTTCATTCCTCTCTTCTCTGGATCAATTCTACTTTGAGGGGAAGTACAGATCCCTCACATTACAGCGCAACAGACTGACACAAGTGCATTTCAGGCTTAGAAATACCCCTTAACTTCATTCCTCTCCTCTGAAGACAAGAAATTCCATCACCTCTTTTTTTTGCTTGAACCACCATTTCTTCGTACTGCTGCCTGTGTTTCTGAGCTTCTTCTGCAGGTTTTGCAGGGAGGTTCCTTGAATTTAAAAGAATAATGATCAGTATTTAAAGTTGGCATGCCTGTCTGAAGAAAGTTCTAGACCCTTCTCAAAGAAAAACATATACTGCTCCTGTCAAAATATTTGATCAAAGAACAGAGCAACACATCCTTGGAAAGAAATTTTGTTGCCAGAGTCAGCAGAAGAGAAGGAAAGAACATTGACCAGTTCTGACTACTTTTATACACAAAATATGCTGAGTAATTTCCTTATGTTTGGTAATTTCAGCATTTTTATTATTGAACCAGCTGAACCCGCAGGCTGATCTTCAGAAACAAAGGGACTATACTGGTATATGCCAAGCTGGTAGTTTTGTTTTAAACTGATCTCTGCAGAAAAGATACAAGACCATACTCTCTCTTAATATGCACCTTGTTTAAATGTTAGACCCACAACTTTCTCTACCCATACAGTAATGACTCCCTACACCAGCTTTTTTTTCCCCTCTGCTCTCTGAGGCCCCATTTCTATTTTAAAAGCTTAATTCATCCCCTGCACTTCTACAGCAACAAGTGGCACTGAAGTCATCCTCTATATGCTCCCATTATCAACATCAACATAGCCATTTTGATTTGTGGTTAAGGCCTGTAACATCTCTGCCATACAAATCCACATACTCCTATGTCAGACCACATAAACTTAAGCTAATCATACTTGCAATTAACATAACAACTATGTATCTCATACAACTACAGGATCACCAAAACATCCGAACAGAAATGACTAAGTACTTTGTTCTTCTGTGAACACAGTACTGCGTTCCTAGCACACTTTGTATCTTTGGTTACTAAAAAACAGATGCCTTCACTTTCACATTCCTGTAAGGTGTCACACATGAGGCAGCTGTTAGCTATTGACAGAGTTACCATTAACAGTAGCACACTTTATGATTTACATAATCATATCACCTGTAAAGTAAGCACAGCTGTGCGATATGTACCTATGAGTATCTTTTAAAATTGAGATTGTTACAAGAACAGGGAAAGTAGATTTTCACATTAGTGTCTTTGTTAACCACAGAGAATAATCTGCTCCTTTTCCAGTTTCAGTTATGTGAACTGAGCAACAACTTTTTTAAATCCAAATCCTTAAAAGTGATGCAAGTTAGGAAAAGCTTAAAAAGAAAACCAGATGAAACAATGTATATTCTGTTAACTTAAATTCCACTACTTAAAATTTGTCCTATCTCTTTAACAGCATCACCATACACATGAGATAGCGGTGTTCAAGGCCAGGCTGGACAGAGCCTTGGGTGACATGGTTTAGTGAGAGGTGTCCCTGCCTACGGCAGCGGGGTGGAACTAGATGAACTTAAGGTCCTTTCCAACCCTAACTATTCTGTGATTCTATGTTTAATATCTAATTAAGATTCAACTAACAAACCCTATAAGTCAGTGCAAAATCAAGAGTAGTTATTTGGAAAAAATCTCTGCATTTTTCTTCTGTACACTTTAAATCTTTCTGTCACAGGAAATAAAAAAAGAAATTGCTTAAAGCCTGATAGGTAAAAAAAAAAAAAAAAAAAAAAAAAAAAAAAAAAAAAACAAAACCAAACAACCCAACAGTATAAAACTGTAACTATTAAAAAAAGACTCCTTAGAGTCACCAGAAGACTGCACTGCTGTCCAGAGCTTCTCTCTACTAGACAGAAGACATGATGACTCAGTTGCCTAGAACCTTAATACCTTTTCTGCTACAAGTTCCTTAGTCTATCAACAATACAAAAGAAACCAAACTCTGTTATCCTGTAACGTATCACTAATACAATCTATCTGACTGCTGTACTTCTCAGATTCTCTCTCATTAAGCATGATTTTTAACAGGCAAGTTTTAAATACAACAGATAAGCTAATATGTGTTGTTTCCAGCTATACATAATAAAACCTGTTATAACAAATAATCACAGGTACATTGTTCCAGCTGTCCCAAGAAGTTCTGTCATAGTCTACCAGTCAAGCCAAAAAGTGTCTTAAATAACCCTACAACTAGACTACTTTGATACATGAGCTTTCTTCATACAGATCTGTTGATGAAAACACAGGCCTATGCTATACCAGTTCTTATATTAGAATTTAGACACCATGCCTGTAAAGCTGGGTACCATTCAGAAATTGGCTAAACATAACTGAAGCTGTGTAATTCAGAAGCAAACCACAGTAAAACAGGTGCCAGTGAATTGCTATGGAGTTAGGCTGCATATACAAGAATATCCTTGCAGCAACAGAAGCATGAAACAACTCACCAAGCACTTGACAACCTTTAAAATGCAACACTGAACCCACTGCAGAACAATCATTACGTTGTTTCATTATTTATGGAGGTGTGGTCTTTCTCTGTGTAAACAGGACACTGTATCCTTGCTTCTCAATTTCTGTAGCATATACCAGCTTCACTTTTATGCTTACAGTCTCTCAGGGAAAATAAAAATCCCTTATTCATGTTTAAAGGTAGAATTACTCAAAACCAGACCTCTGCTCTCCAAATTACCTCCTGTCATACAAGGCCATTGCTTTTATTATAAAATAGTTAGTTTTGTTTGAGTCATTTTTCTCACAGTCATCCCACTATCATATTCATTAGCCTGAAAAAAATCTACTTAAAATTTTAAATCATTGAGTCATCAAATATACACAGCAAGGAAAGCATCACTAGGCAAATTTTAAAAAGACCCTAGGTGTTGTGCTTCCCAAAACTTACGCTGGTCTGTCCTCTAAAATAAGTGCTGTAGTGGAGAGTGGTTCAAAATCAAGATTCTTCCTCACATTCTGTTTAGGAGAGAGCGGTTTGTGAGCTCGTCCAGTTTTTTCTTCATATTCCTAGAGAAGAAAAAGACAAGGGCAAGTTATAAGAGTGGAGAACATCAAGGTAATGCACATGAGCTTCTGAAAAGGGTCTATAAAAGACTACAGGATAATGCTTTCACATCTCTGCCCAACTGGGTCCTCTTAAAGCTTTTCAACTAAAGCAACCTCAGAATTCAAAACAATGTTCAAATTTCTCTTCAGGAGTGAGGTTTGATGTTTTTTTCCATTCCTTCTATTTGCAGAAACATCTGAAGTTCCTCTGGCTTTTGTTAAAGCCAGCTTTTACAAACAACTGCTAAAAAGGACCTTAAAACCAGCAGATATTACCTGAGGTAGAAAATAAGACCTGTTTAAAATACTTTTGTTTTGATTTACATGGTTTTGAAACTGAGGGCAAAAACAACCACAGGATTCTTGTCTTAAAATCTCATCATATGATTTCTCCTCCCAAGCTATTTTCAGCTGCAACAGTTCAACGATGGCAAAAAAGTTCGAATTATGGTTAGACAGAAACTCCACACGTTACAATGCCTTGAAGTACAACAATCCTAAGTCATAACAGAGCATAAAGTATGAACTTGGGTTTGCAATACAAATACTGACACACCAAAGCAAGACTAGCCAAGAAGCACCAAGATGACTGGGGTCAGGAGCTAGTGACATACTGAGAGAGGGTGAGAGACCTTGGCTTGGTCAGCCTTCGGAAGAGAAGTCTTCATAGGGATCTTTGGTAGACAGCAGTAATGGGATGGTGAAGGCAAAGCACAAAATTCTGAGACACTTATATAAAGAACAAGAAGACAACAGGCACAAACTGCTACAAGGGGAATTCTGGTCTTAAGGAAGAAAGGAGGGTAGTCAAACCCTGGGACATGGTAGAACCTCCAAACTTGCAGGCATTCACAGCTCAGATGGATGAGCCCTGGGAACCTCATCTACGCTCTCTCAGAGAGAGGAGTGAGCCCTTCAGAAGTCCTTTCACCCTCAATTAGCGTATCACTATGATCTGCATCAGAGGACGGGGCATTGCATGTTCTATGCTGTTTCTATTTTTCCTACAAACACTGTTTTGGAAATAAATGTACCGAAAACATGACCTAATGGGATAAAACCTTTACACAACTCCTGTCTACTCCAATGCTTGAAGTACTATAGCAAAGATTAACTATTCAAAGTATCAGTGATATACATACAAACAGTGTCAAACGGACTGTTGGAAAAAGCAAATCCATATTACAGATACTTCTATATTCAACTTTATAATGAATTTTGCGACTGCCAAACCCCACCAGCTTCCACATGTAGCTTGTTTATACTATTTCCACTAAAATAAAAGATAGGAAACTATAGTGTGAAAACTATTAATTACGAATGAGCACTATGAACACTGTTCCAGCCATGACTTCTTCCCGTGAGCACAAACAGCTCCCCGAACAGTACTGATTTCTTTCTTTTAACCTAACCTGTCAATTACATCAATACTTCTTTGGTAATAGATTCAAAATTTCCAACACTTTCAGAACACCCTGGATCATTCAGAAACTAAAATGGGACCCCTATGGCTTCCAGGAAGGCCACCTCCACCAACCCCACCTTTAAAAAAAGGACGGATAAAACCCATGCATGAATGCAGAGCAACACAGCCATGGTCTTCTACTCTCTGTTGTACAATTCAGTTCTAATTCAAACTAGTTCTATGGGAGTCATGGGTACCGGCCCATGAAGCTCTCGGGTCATAGGGAAACCCTCTTTTTCCTTATTTGTTAACTGGACACTGCCCTGACAGTCAGTCCTCTGATACCCACATCGCTATGATGCTAACACTGTCATGAAGCTGGAATGTCCAGCTCTGTGATACCAGTTAATACTGCTGTGCACGACATCAGTTTGAAAACAAGCTAAACAACAAAGAAAAACTTATCTGAAATACTGAATGGTACTCAGCTTTGGTTAGTAAATGGATAGAGCACACGCTGAAAAAGCTGTTCATTAAAAAAAGCCTCCAGAGAGAAAATAAGCAAAGAAATACTAGAAGAAAGGTATTGTGATTAAGAGCATATTCAGAAAGCTAAGACAGTATTCTTGCTTTATTAACCCTTGCAAGTGGCTGACAGTGACCAGTGTATGAGTGCACCATCCTAACATGCTTCAGCTGCACCATAAGCACTGTGGTATCAGGAATGAAGTTCATGTCTACTCTTTCTCCTAGTTTCCATTAGAAGACCGATTTTTTTATTAGCTATTTTTCACAAATTAACATAGTCAAATATTAACCTCTATTACTGCTTCTCCAGACAAGGTGAACCTTGTCCCTAAATCTAGCATTTTTACTCCTTTGGGACGCTACTCGTGAAAGAAAACCCATCTGGTATCAGCAAGAAACTGTTAATACACAGAAATAATCATATATTGATCTCCCTAAAGCCTCACAGAACTTGACATTAAAACACATGCACCCAATGCATATTACAGCACAAGTTCCAGAAAAGCTGCTTAATTAAGGCTTATGAAAATTACTTTCAAGGTCTTCTTTCTGTGAAAACCAACTGCAGAGTAAAATTGCTTTTGGAAGGTAAGAAAACCATATACACCAGGCTGCAGTAGGGATTTTATTCTGCACAGTACAATTTGAATCTCTCATTCAGCTAAGCACAAAGTTTTCCAGACCACATTACCATTCTGAAGGTAATCTGAAGGAATGCCTTATTTTGGAATATGGGCGGCTAGTTACACAATTTGCGTGTTAGTACAGTTATTCACAGTTCTTAAAGAGCAAAAGCCCACCCCGCATTTCAGTAAGTATTCACTGACGTGTTCTCAGCACTACCCTACAGTAAAGCAGCCAGAGCAGCACAGCAATGGGAGTGGCACGTTTTATCAGATTACAAGTCCTTTGTAGTAATTTCATCCTTTCCAGTGGCAGCCAAAACAGAATAAAATGTATGTTGGTGACAGTCGTTACCCAAAAGACTGGGTTTTAAATAGGGAAAACTAAAAAAACAAGCACACACACCAAAAAAAAACAAACACCCAAAAGTCACAGCAGACAAAAGCTCATGAAAATGATCTTTTATTCCAGTAAGAAGAATGCCATTTCGAACAGAGCACAATGTATGATATAGCAGCGAAGCAGACTGAATCCTCCACAAACTGATATTAAGAGTATCTTGCTGACTGAGCAAGTAGAAGGATTTCCACATGCTGCAATAGGCTAAACCACACAATAGCTCATTTTAAGCTTTTTCTTTTCAAATAAGACAGACTCAAATCTCTCACAGGTACAAATAATTCAGCATCTACTTAAATCCTACACTGCAATTAGGGCTTACTAACCTGATATGGTTGCAAGTTAATTTTAGGATCAATTTAGGATGAGATGATCCTTTATGACTTAGAATACATCCTTATCACTGAGATCTCTTAGGCTTCCTTTCAGGTTGCATCTTTATCTATTCAGCATTAAGCCACAATAGCTGAACCAGGGTTTGAAGATGCTCTAAGAGAACGTGCTACAGATTAAAGCACTGATTTATAACAAAGCAAAACAAACATACCCACAGAAACATCACACACACGCACACCCTGAAAGCGAGTTTAATTCTGGGCGGAACCTGGCAGCTTTGCAGTTGAGATGCGAGAAACTCAAGTTCTGCTTATCCTCCGTAATTCTTCAAGAAAAAGAAGCTAACCTACAAAGGGATCCTGAACCATCTCTATGGAGAAACACAAATAACTCACCAGAGCACATCACCCGCACTAACCGGGAGAGGGCTGTGAGACTTCCCACACGCACCGAGCCTCCCCCGGGGACCGGCATCACCGAACCCAAAGTAACACAACCGCTTTACCAAGGTCATCCCGCTCTAGCTCCGCTTATGCAAAGGTAACCACTCTCAGACGAAGCCAAAAGGGAAATTACCCCTCCAGGCTCTACAGCGGCAGTCTCCACACAGCTCCACCGCTGCCCCGCAGCTCTGCGCGGGACAGGCACCCGGCCTCCGCTCCCACCCACCGCGTCCCCTCGACCCGAGCCCCGGCAGCCGCCCTGCCCTGCGCAGCCCTCTGCGGCCTCGCTCACCATGAAAGCTGCGGTCCTCACAGGCGGCGGTGCCGGAGCCCCATACCCGCCCGCACCGCCGCGGCGCCGCCCGGGCCCGCACCGCGGCCTCGCGGGCTCCCGCCCGCCCCGGCCCTCCCCGGGCCGCCCCCCGCGGGCCCCGCCCCGCCAGCCCCGCTAATCACCCGCGGAGTCGGCGAACCCGATCGGCGCTCTCCGTCTCGCCCAGCGCTGCCTGAGCACGCTCGGCGCCCGGCCCCTCCCGGCACAGCCTCTCCGGCTCGGCGTCCAGCCGTTCTTCCCAACCCGCTTCAGCTCTAGGTCCAAGAAGGGTAACCGAAACCTCGTACAAGGAACGTGCATTAGCTACAGGCATGTTCGTTTCCGCACACAGCTGCCCAGAATTAGAAGCAGCGGCCGCAGCTGCATTCCTGACAAGGCGGCATCTCGCTCGATTTGGATACCCCCACTCGTGCTCCTGTTCCTGGTTCCCGGTCCGTTTGCTGGTGGGTACGGGCAGGGCTCCACGGGGAGCTAGCCCCTGGAGCGGCCCCGAGTGAGGGTGCTCACCAGCCATCAAACAGTCCCTCAAACGAGTCCCCAAGGAACGGCATCTTTTCAGTACAACTCGTGCTGTCCTCCTCGGACAGCTCTGAACGATATATACATAAATCTCTTCCACAGTTCAGACAACTTCCACATCACATCTTGTTACATATTCTGCCTCAATCCCGATGAATTAAGTTTGTCATTCTCCTCTGTCCCCTGCTAACTCAGGGGAGATACCCAAGCTGTTATGGCACCATCTTTGGCAGACTCACATTTTATCCTACTGTCTATTCATCTGCAACCGTTACTTGCCCTCTTCACCACACTCAACTAAGGATTTCTTATTCCTTAATCTCACTGTTGGAGGTTAAGGTTTGCAGTTGCCAGGCTGCATTTGCTGCTCACG